CTCACACCGTTTTTTGGAAGGATAATTTCATGCTCAAAACTAAATTTTGTTCCTTCTTCCACTGGGGACCAGTTCCCAGCTTCAGAATTGCTCCGATAACTTTGCAATTGCGTTGATAGTTCCAGAGGGGAGCCCAGTCCCTTTACAGAACAGATGGAGACACATTTTCAGGACCATTCAACTTTACTGTAACTCTCTTTGTTATGACAATTTCTTCTGCTATAACAGGAAGAGCAAAATTTGGCCAATGCTCTTAAAAAACTGTATTCCTGAACTTAGTGGACAAACTTAGTGTAGGATCCAAGTGCTCCCAGGTGCAAAATGCCTTCCACACCCACCGGCTTCAGTGGCCCTGGGGATTTGGGCAGCTTGCAGGATCTGGCTTGCACAGTAGCAGCAGCAGCAGCAGCAGCAGTTTTATGATGGCAATATTTTTGCTGTGTCAATCTGCACTTGCACGTGCCTGCAATGCATGGCTCCTGCAATCCATCTGAAATCCGCCCTCCGAGGGAGGTCTGAGCTCCAGCTTCTTCCATATGGCCCTGCCTGTTTTCCAGGGAATCAGGGGAGTGGGAGAAGGCTGAAGGGGCTGCTGCTTTAAAGCACGTGGTTCCAGAAGTAAAACAGAGCTTAGGAGAGCTCAAAACTGGCTTGATTTTAGCACAGGTAACTCATGAAATATTCAAGCATTGTGATGCAGATCCACCTTTTTTCCTGCTGTGCTGGGAATGAAGTAGACTGGAAACACTTGGCCTTCACCCCTACAGGTGTTTGGCTGTGATGGAATTTTGAGCCATTGAATCACAGGGGGCAAAAAAACCCAACAAAAACCAAACAAGATTGTGGGTTCCTAGCTGAGCAGTGGCAGCTTGTTTAGCAGCGAGAGAGTCTCACCTGCCTTATTCGTGTCCTACCTGGCCGGATTTTGGGGAGGGAGGAAGCACCTCAAAGGGAGAAAATCAGACCTGTGAGCCTTGCCTGGAGAATCCCTGGTTTATCAGGAGCCAAGGCTCTGCAGCTATTCCTCACTGCTGTGGTGGGGGAGTGGGTAAGACACTGGGTGGCTTCTGTTCTATCCATGGGCCAAAGCTTGCAGAAACTGCTCTGGGGCTGTGGAAAAGCAAGAACAGGGTGCTGGGCTGGGGATCAGCTCCTGCCAGGTTTGTGCATAGGTCTCTGCAGGGCTGGTGAAGGAACCTGCCAGGGAAAAACCTTGGGCAAAGTATTTTTCTTGCGGGGGCATCCCTAATACTTTGAAAACTGAAAGACTAAACACTGAAAAAGTTGACCTGAAAGAGCTTGTTGCTTTGTTTTCACGTGTTGGTTCTGAACCAGAAAGCAGGCAGGCAGTGTATCAGCTTGTTTTGGATTAAATCAAGTGTTTTGCTCCTACAAAAATTGCTAAAGGAGATTTCAAAATAATTTTCCAAGGGCAACAAAACGGCCTTAATCATCCAAGACATTAATGCTACTTGCTTCTGAGCCTGCTTTTTTGATTTTCCTCTCTGTGTGATCGTGGCATGGAATCATGTCTGAACAAAATACACTTTACAGTAGTCAGGAAACAGAAACAGAAGATGGTGTTTTAGAACCTCCAGCATTGAAACGATGGCTTTGAAGCCGGTGAGATTCAATGCCAAATCCCTGTTTTGCTAGAGTTTGCTACAAAATAGGCGAATCCCCACAATTCCCAAGGTTGAATTCCCATGCTCTGCTGCCTTGAGATGCCTCTAAAAACCCTGGGCTCTGTGTGCCGTAAAGAGCTTGTGAGTAGTCTGCAGCTTTTCCAGAGTGCACACAATTCCCCAGGCAGTGGATGAGCAGCGAGATGACTTTCAGCCAGGACTCATTGCTTTTTAGATTGCATGTAGTTAGAAACATGAGTTCTGCCAGCTGCCCGGGGAATTTGATATTCAGTGCCAATTAATTTTTGTAATAGGAGCAGGGATTTGTTCCCTGGGCTCCCTTAGGCACCTTTGAAAAGTCTAAGATTCAAAGGTCGGTTTGGATTCTTTGATTTCCTGGTGGCCTTCTCGTGAAGAGCAGCGGTGCCGTGACGAGGAAGGGACTGCTCTGGGGAGGGTGGCAGCTTTGGGGCAGGCAACTCCCAAACTTTCTGTTGCAGAGGTTTTCTAAACTCTTTAGATGTGGGTAAATTCCGCTGGGCTGGACGAGACTCCAAGCCCTGGCTGCTCTCTGGTCCTCCTGCTCCCTCCCCCTCAGCACCTCCTCATGTCACTGTGCCTTCATTTGGTTTATGGAACGATGCCATGATTTAAGACCGGCACATCATCTTTACTCTCACTTTGCATCCCATATGATGGGTTCCGTGTGGAGGGGAGGGGGGAGCTTATTCTGTAGCTTTTTGTGTGGTGCCAAGGTGGGTTTCCTGTGAGGAGCGAGGAGGTGGGGGCGGTGGGAGCGGGCTGAGCCGCTGTTGTGTTTGGTCCTACCAGTGCTTTAAGCGTGGTCAGAAACGTGGTTCTCCCCCTACCTCCGAGCTCTCAATGCTGCTAAAACCTCTGCCATTCGTCCAATGTACTCCAGCCCCTCTCTCGGACTGACTCTGCCTCTGTTTGCAAGATATCCACATTGTTCTGAAGCATGCACCTCTCTCTGTATAGTTCCAATCTTCTGATTTTATGGAATACTTATGCCTGTTTGCATTACAGTCAAAATAAAAAAGTGAACTAAAGCCTAGAGGGCCTCGTTCTTCTCTTATCCCTGGTGTTTTAGCACAGAAAGGCCTCTGCTGATCTCTTGGCCTTGCTCTGCTCTGCCACCTGTAATGCCAGAGCACTATAAATAGCTCGCTGGCGTCAATCAGCAATACCCGTTTACCTGCCAGACACAAACACCTCCTTGGAAGGCTGCTTGAGTCACAGCACTCCATGTTTCACATCATTTAGACCATGTCCTCGGGGAAAATGTCACAGTCAAGCAAGGAGGGCTGCTTGTGCGCAGTCCAGGGCAATTGTGGTGCTGGAGCCTCTGGAATGCAGCAGCAGTGCTCCAGGCAGGACTGGAGAGACCTGGGAATGGCAGGATGTGAATGAGGCAGAAGTATGGACATGGCTTTTCCCCTGGGAAGGCAGCATGCTGTTCCAAGAGGGAACCTTCCAGTACTGGAAGGGGGCTTATAAAAAATAGGGAGAGTGACTTTTTACATGGACAGATGGTAACAGGGCAAGGGGGAATGGCTTCCCACTGCCAGAGGGCAGGGTTAGAGGGGATATTGGGAAGAAATCCTTCCCTGTGAGGGCAAGGAGGAGCTGGCCCAAGGGGAACATGGCTGCATGTTACCTCAGCGTGGCAGCAGTGCCACCTCAGGGACAGCAGTTTTACCTCAGACAGCCTCAGTGCCACCTCAGACATGGCAGTGGTGTGACCACAGACTCTGGTGGTGCTGTTGCCCAAACTTGCTGTGCTGCCACCCCAGACACAGCAGCAGGCCCCGCGGTGCCACCTCATGCACCACGCTGGTGCTACCTCAGTCCCCACAGATGTGCTACCACAGGCACAATGGTGGCATCACCTCAGGGTCAGTGCAGACACTGAGGTGATGTTACTTCAGGTGTCAGTGCACACACTGAAGTAGCATCACCTGAAGTGTCATTGCAGATATGGAGGTGATGATATCTCAGGGGTCAGTGCAGACATGGAGGTGATGTGACCTCAGGTGCTACCACACACATGGCAGCAGAACCGCCTCAGCCAAGGCCTCCCCTCTGCCCCCAGGCCCTGCTAGCCCAGGCCCTGCCACCCCCAGCTCCTGCAGCCTCCCCCAGTGCCTTGCTGAGCGTGGGGAAATGGGGGTCCCATGTCCCCACTGCCCCTGGGGCTGGGAATTTTGCAGACCCACCTAAACCTCACCATGCCCCTGCCCAGGAGAGTGTCTGTGGCACTTGTCGGGATCACAGACTGGTCCAGGCTGGAAGGGACCACAGTGGGTCATCTGGTCCCACTTCCCTGCTCAAGCAAGGCCATCCCAGAGCACATGGCACAGGATTGTGTCCAGACACTTCTGGAATATCTGCAGTGAGGGAGACTCCACACCCTCTCTGGGCAATCTGTTAGTGCAGCAGTACTGCTTCTCGTCCTAGTGGTTGGCACAACCAAGCAGAGATCATTTTCTTAGAGAATTACAGGATACACACTCATGAGGCCTTCTCTTGGAACTCCCCTTCAGATATTGATATACATTGATGAGGCACCTCCCTTAATGAGGTCCCCCTTTCAATATTTATACAGATTGGTAAGTTCCCCTCTGGGCACTCCCCTTTAGATATTGATACACATCAGCGAGGTCCCCTTCTGGCACCTCCTTTTTGATGTTCATACACATTGACAAGGTCCCCTCTTGGAAGCCCCCTTTTGATATTCACACACCTTGATGAGGTCTCTATCTATACATTTAGACACATTAATGAGGTCTCCTTTTAGATATTCACACGCATTGATGAGGTCTCTATTTATACATTTACACACAGAGTTGAGGTCCCCCTTTAGCCATTTGTACACTGATGAGGTCTCTACTAGACGTCCACACACCCTGACGAGGTCCCCCTTCAGACATTCACACGCCCTGAGGAGGTCCCTATTAGACATTTACACACATCGATGAGGTCTCTATTAAATATTTACACACCCTGCCGGGGGTCCTCCTTTACCCCCGCGTCTCCGCCCCGCGCCGAGTTCTCCCCTCAACCCATTCCTCTCGCACCCTCCTTCCCCTCATCCCGTCACTCGCTCTCTCCCCGCTCTCTCCCCTCACCTCGTCCCCGTCAAAGGCTCTCTCCCCGCTCTCCCCTCAGCCCGTCCCCGTCAGAGCCTCTCTCCCCGCTCTCTCCCCTCACCCCGTCCCCGTCAAAGGCGAAGGCTCCCTCCCCGCTCTCCCCTCAGCCCGTCCCTCGCCCCCTCCCGCCCCGTGTGGCCGCAGCCCGGGCCGCCCCTCCCCGGAAGCGCCGCGCGGCCCCAGTGACCGCAGGTAAACAGCCAAGATGGCGGCGGAGGGCGCGGGCCCGGCGGGGCCCGGCGGTGGCGGCGGTGGCGGTGGCGGGACGAGCCTCACGGACCTGCCGGGCGAGCTGCTGGAGCTCATCCTCTGCTGCGACGTGCTGGGCGCCGCCGACATCGGCCGCGTGTCCTGCACCTGCCGCCGGCTGCGCGAGGCGTGCCAGCCCCGCGGGAAGGTGTGGCGGGAGCGCTTCCGCCTCAGGTGCGCTCGGCGGGCACGGCCCGGCCCGCCCGGGGCAGGGCAGGGCACAGGGGGGGACCCGCCGGGGGCTCCGGGGAGCTGCGGGAGGTGCCCGCGGCCTCCCGGGCCTGGGAGTGATCGGGGCGGGGGGGTGGAAGTGCAGCCCCGGCTCCCCATCCCTGGTCGCTCCCCGGCTCCAGCGGGTGCGCGGGGAGCCCCGCGTGGGCCGGGCGGGCCCTGCGGCGCTCGGGGTAAAGTCGTGGAGTGCTTTTGGGTGGGAAGGGGCCGTAAAGATCATCCGGTTCCGTCCCCTCCCCCTACCGTGGGCAGGGACACACTTCCCGCTAGGCCAGCCTGCTCCAAGTTTATCCCACCTGGAACGCTTCCAGGGATGGGGCAGCCACAGCTGTCCTTCTGCGCTTCCACGAGGGATTTACAAGGCTGCCTCCCCTCCTGGATCCCGCGGGGTGGGACCGGGCTGTGCCTGCTGCTTGCAGGAGATCAGTGCTGGCGGCTCTTTGCTCGGAGACCAGTCCTGCAGCCCCTTCCACAGCCAGGATCGGCTGCACTCCCCGGATCCGGCCGGGATCTGCCGGTGACACAGACACAGATCCACGTGCTCTGGAGTCGTGGCTTGGCCTCCCTGACCCCGACAGCACCTTCCAAAACGTCTTCCAGCACCTGTCCTGTCACAGGACTAACCCTTTACAGCAGAGGGGTGTTTATTTGTGGTGCTTTGAGGAGAACTGTTTCCACAGGTACCAAAGTATTTGGCACAGACTTTTGCTGCTGCTGAGTGTCTCTCCCCAGGGGCACTCACAGGGGGCCTGGTGGGGGCAAAGCTGTGTTGTAATCCTTGAAACTGTTCACATTTTGCCCGGGAATGAAGCAGGGGGGTGACATTGCTGATGCTGCGCTGCTTTCAGCAGTCCTGGGGCACCACCACTCATCTCTGGGGCCTCCAGCCTCTCTGGGACAGAACTTTCTCATCTGTTACCTGCTTTTTTTGCCTGTTCTGGCACAGGAAAAGTAGCCAAATTGCTTTCTCTAATTGCCACTTGGCTCCTAAAATGTAGCATAGCCCAAATGAGAGGATTATTCTCTTTTCACGGGCGAAAAAGGCCTATTGAACAATTACAGCTTCCCCAAATCACCCGACCGTGGCTTGGGATTGACTTTCACCGATTCAGTGGCTGTGTTTTCTGGAAGTTCAGCACTGGTTGGGATCCAGCAGCTGGAAGGGGATGTGGTGGGTGATTAGCACTCTCTGCTCTCCTCCTCTCTCCTTGATAATGGAACTTTTGGCAGGAGGTTGCAGGTTGACCTTGTTGTCCTGGCCGGATTCCATCGTGAGCAATTGCACTCTGTCTTCCTAAAATCCCCAATATCATTTCAACCCAAGAAATTACCCTTTCTCCTCCCAAAATAAAGGATTGCGATGGTTATTGTGGGGTGGCTGCGTTTCAGCAGTAAATGAAAGGCCAGGGATTCGGGCTGTTATGTAATTTGAGGTTATTTGACTTTATTTTGTGAAGGCAACTGCAGGGCAGTTTAATTATTAACTGGCAGTGAAATATCTTCCATGTGTGGTCAAACCCAACTGTGCATTTTGGTCACTGGTAATAATTTTATACAGGAGTGGTGATTTAAATGTTAGGCCTTCTCTCTATTTTATATATATATATATATATATATTTATATATTCAGATAAACCTGGAAAGAACCTAAGGTAATGTAGTGATAGTGATTTAAACATCTCCGTTTATAAAAATAAATAAATAAAGATAGATAGACAGAACCTGAAAAAAATTCAAGGCAGTGGTTGAAGGAAAATGTTTTATATAAACCAGTAATAATTAACAGAATTTCAAAGCATGAAGTAAAAAAGTCCCAGTGAATTGCAAGAGACCTTCCTCTCAGCTTCCTTGCCAAAATATTTTCATCTGTGCTGATTCTTCCTCATGTTTCTTACACAAGTGGTCTCAGGATCTTCACAACAGCCTTGGGAGTTGCTGTGCTGGCACATATTTTATTGCACACCCACTTGGTTAGAAAAGGTGCTGCTGACAGCCCCCAAAACACGACCTGAAGTTAGATTTTGAGTTGGACCTCGAAATTCTTAATGGAGTGTCTTAGTTTTTAGACTTTTAGGCTCAGTTATGCAGGTTGGGGAGGTTTTTTTACAGGAACACTGAGGGTGGGTTTTTTTAAATAATTATTTATTGTGCCAAAAATGAACTGGGAAAGCATTCTGCTGTCGGGATTTGACTTCTGGGTTCTGTTTTCCTCCCGTAGATGTTGCCACCAGCAAGGGCAGTGGAGGGAGCTCTGTTTTGTGCAGCCTTTTAATTAGACCCCGAGGTGGTAGCAGGAACACAGGACAATGTTTGGTGCCGAGTTGGCCGACATGGGATGCTTCTTTGTATATTGAACTCTTTTAATTATCAAACTAAAGCATTTAGGATATTTGGATGCTGCAATCCTGGTGTGGGAGCCTTTGAAGGTTTCCTCTTGGCAGGCTTTAGGAAATCTTAACTTTAAAACAATCCTGAAGCCGAAATCAGGGGGTTCGTGCTTTGATGTTTGGGTCAGTTTTACACAACTACCTTTAAAGCTGGGCAGCCTCTCAGCTCCTCAGTGGTTCCAATAACACTTCTGGGGGCTCTCAGGGCTGTGAAATCCTAATGCTGCTGTTCATTTGTGTCTCCTGGGTAGGTGGCCATCCCTGCTGAAGTATTACAGCCACACGGATGGGGTGAGCTGGCTGGAGGAGTACAAGGCCCGGCACAACGCGGGGCTGGAGGCCCAGAGGATTGTGGCTTCCTTCTCCAAAAGGTTCTTCTCAGAACATGTAAGTCCTCTGTATGTCTGTGCAACAGCCTGGCCACTTGTTTAGCAGAATCATTATTAAATAGAATGATTAAGGTTGGAAAAGCCCTCTCAGATCATCAGGTCTGACTGCTAATCCAGCACTGCCAGGTCCACCACTAAACCACCACATCTACACATTTTTTGAACACTTCCAAGGTCAGTGATTCCACCACGTCCCTAAGCAGCTTGTTCCAGTGCTTGACAACCCTTTCAGTGAGGAAGTTTTCCCTAATATCCAAGCTAAACCTCCCCTGCTGCAGCTGGAGGCTGTTTGCTCAGGACTGGCTGAGCTTTTGTGTCAGGAGGTCGTATTCTTAAAAAGTTCTTGAGCCATTTAAAAGGTATTTATTTCTCAGGTGATTTTGCCTTTTAAGTATTATTATTATTGTTATCAGGGAAAGATTCTTCCCCCAGAGGGTGGTTGGCACTGAACAGGCTCCCCAGGGCAGTGGGCACAGCCCCAAGGCTGCCAGAGCTGCAGGAGGGTTTGGACAACGCTCTGAGGGACAGGGTGGGATTGTTGGGGTGTGTGTGCAGGGCCAGGGGTTGGACTTGGATGCTCCTTGTGGATCCCTTCCCACTCAGGATTATGCAAAGATTGAACTTCTTTGATTTGAATCCAGACTTTTTGTTAGTTGATCTTCTCTCTCTCTTCACGTCATCTCAACCGTGCAGTCAGAAATTCTGCATTTCCTCACTTGGTGTGAAAATGCTAAACCACGGCCAACAGGGGAGAGAGGTCAAAATCCAAAGGTCCAACACACATTCTCTGATTGCATTTTCCAGCTTTAAAAACCTCTCTGCTCATGGCTGTGTGTTCAGCCCCAGCTCTGGGAGCTTCTGAAGGCCGGGGTGGTTTTGTTGACACGCAGCACCAGCCCCTGAATTTCTCGCTGCAGACCTTGAGCAAGGCTGTGCCCTGAGAGCTGTCACGAGGCATTTGAAAGCAGGAGCGAGCCACAATAGGGTCACTGAACTGGAGAGGGTGTTATTGAGCTTCTTCACCCAGCCATGACACCAAGATGCTTTTGTGTTCAGTGGGAAAAAAAGGTGAAAATGTGGTGTCCTGGGGAGACTGACTTGCACGTGGAGCAGCAGATCTTTCACTGTCTGTTTGCTTAGTGGGTGGCTCTGGATTTTGGCGAGTTGTCCAGTGGGGTCAGCCTGAAATTCTGTGAGATAAGCATAAGTGCTGCCTGGAAATGTGGCTGAATTTAAAAGTTCCCACAAGAGCCACTAAACAGCCACCCCTCTGTACCTCCTGTGCAAAAATATAGTGGTCCAGTAGAGAATTCCCCTAAGATACAGGAGACCTGTGTTGAAATCCTCTCCCCTGACATTAAGCAGGGGTTGGCAGGTAGTTTCTCTCCTGGAGAAGGGAGCTGTGGGCCCAGTGGGGTATTTGGTGTGTCTTGGCTGTTCTGTTCCACTGCAGCTGCAGCAGACACACATCTGTCCGTGGAGAATTGTCAGAGCATTAACTGGGAAAAGCAGCTCCTGGATTGCTGTTCTTTTAATCACGTATGCAAAGACTTCTGAGAGACCATTAAGCAATACCCAAAGGCCTGATAATGAGAATCATCTCCTGTGGGGCAAGAAGCTGCAGCTTGATTCCCTGCTTAGAACTGAGAGAGAGAGACTTTCAGCCCATGTCTTGTACTTAGAAGTGAATGTTTTTTATAGTTCCACCAAAACTTTAAAAATAATTCTGAATTCTGGAAGAAAATAGCTCTTCTTAATATAGATGCCTAAGTGGTTGAATCAAAAAATAAAGGCTCCTGCCTCTTCATTCCTCATCCCTCAGGATTAATCTTAGGCACTGGGGAGTGTATGTGGAGGTTCAACCAACCACAGGCAAAAGTTGATTCCACCTTAAAATTGCTGCATAAGATGAGATGTGCTTGTGCTGGTCCTTAGCCCGCCCTGGGAGCCCCAAATGCTGTAGGATTTGGCTCAAATTGCTGTAGGATGTTACCAGGGCTCCCAGTGGATCCTTGTAATAAATCCATTGAGTACAGGCTGTGAGCATGTGGTGAGCTGGACGTTTTGAAGGTCTTACCCAGATTTTAAAAACGGGACCAAATTGGGTTTGAGGCTTTTTCTGAAGTTCTGTTGTGCTGGGAGGGAGCTGTCGGGCCCTGCATAACCCACTGTGTGCTCTGACAGGTCCCCTGCGATGGATTCAGTGACATTGAGACCCTGGGGTGCCCGAGTCACTTCTTTGAGGATGAGCTGATGTGTATCCTGAACATGGAAGGAAGGTAAGAGAGAGAGAGAGGTGAGAAATGATGGGGATTTCGCCCCCATTTCACCAGCTAAAGGAGAGCAGTGCTGTGGTCAAAGCCTGACCTCAGCTCCTGTCCTTGTGTCCCTCGTTAAACAACACCCCCAGGCTCACCAAGGCTGGCACATATTCCTGTCTTTCCTGTGTTTAATTGCAGAACAAATTTAATATTTCCAGAAGAAACCATGTGAACTGTCCCACTAAAAGGAGTCCCCTGGCTTGGTGCTTCCTGTTTCCTTGCCAGTTCATGACTCCTGGGACATGTTCCATGTACCCTGTTCCAGCAGTTTTTGCTTAAGGACTTCCCATCCTCATGCTCCTGTTTTTATCTGAGCCTGGAACAGTTTGCCTGAACTGATCTGCAGGATCATTCCCACCAGAGGGAAGCAGGAACACTTGAGGATTGCCACCTTGAAGCCACGTAGCATGAAATTACAGCTCTTTGTTTTCTTTTCCTCTTGTTGCTTTTTTTAGCTGTACTAGGTTGGTACAATTTTTGCCCCCAAATCTGAGTTTAATTCAGGGTTTAAATCTCAGTTTAACTCAGCCACTGCAAATTTTACAGTTCTGTAAATTATTCAGACAAGTGAAATGCCAAGCAGGTAAATAAAACTTCTGGTTTGCATCTGCCTGGGTTTTCTCATCAGCATGATGAACTCTGGGCAGGAGGAACAAGTCCCTGCTTTACTCAGAGGTTTTTCTGCTGGTAGCATCATCTAACCAGGCTGGTTTTGATGTGATCAAAAGCAGTGATAGATTACTCTTAATGGGGTCTAATAGCCCTGATTAGAGGGACTGTCAGTGGAGCTGGAAAAAAGCCTCACTGGAATGGCAATCATCTCATTTTTGCCTTTTCACAGCCATTTTATTACCTTTGAACCGGGGACTGAGCATCCCTCACTTAACAACTGGTTAAAAAGCTTCTGAGCCCTTTTCACTGGCCAAATGCCTCCCCATAAAGCAGGATTGCTGCTAATTACCCCCTGATTAAACTGTACTCATTGCCATTCAGCAGCATTAGGCTAAATCATTGCCCTGGAAGACATCCCAATAAAGCAGTTGTCCCTATTGAGGCTCCCAGTTTATTGGAAGAGGATAAAATGTTATGGGCTTTGGATCATCCTCCTGTGGAGGAGGATGGAGAAGCCTGACTTGACCTGCAGTCTGCAGGACAGGAAGTGTAAGCAGGGAAAGAGGTGGTTTTTTTTCCTGAAGAAGGAAACTGGGCTTGTTTTAAACCGATGGCAAGGGCAGAACCTGGGAAGGAGGAGAATTTTCCCTTTGGGTGTTTTTGAGGCCGGGGCTTGTTTATCTGCCCGTAGTGTGAACACCTCTGGGTTTGTCCTTTTGCAGGTGACTCCTCAAACCTTACCTGGGCAGTAACAGCTCCCCAGGGCTGCTTCTCTGCCTCCACTAGTTCATTTAGAAAGTGATGTAAAAAGCTTTGGAACTGTGTCATCTACAGACCAACTGTTGATCTGTTCCTGCCTTTTCGGAGCAACAGGAGTTGATTTTTCTCTGGGGAGTTGTGGGGTTTTTGTGAATACTGCTGGGTTCACATTCATATCCCTCATCAATTCATTTTTAATGCTGAGAGGGTGCTTTCAGATTGACTCTGGAGGGATCCACTCAGACAGAGGGTAATATTCTATGAATAAAATATAGGATTTTTTATCAGATATTCCTGAGCTACTTTAATTAGGATCTGTGTTGTTTCCCATGATAATGCACCTACTCAGAGTTATATATTGGTGATGGGATGAAAACCAGAGATGATAGGAACAATGTTTTGAAAGTGTCTTGCGTTGTGGGGGTTTTGATGATAAATTTCCTCTTAACATTTCCCTTTCTGGCTGACTTTTCAGTGACAGCGTTGTCAAACTTGTTTAAAAAAGGGCAGTAATCCAACTTATAAACTCGTGTTCACCGGGGCAGTTCAATCAAACATTCACCCTTAAAATACTTGTTTAGGGCAATGCTGCTTCTTGTATTTAAATGTGCAGGAAAGGCCTCACCTGGAAGTATTATGCAAAGAAAATCCTCTATTTCCTGCGGCAACAGAACATCTTAAAAAACCTGAAGGAGTATCTGCAGCGCCCCACTGACCGACAGTCGTTCCTGGAGGGTAAGTCTTTGGCAGAAACCCCGTGTTGAGCACCTCCTGACAGCTTTCCCATCATTTTGCTTAGAAGGAGCTTTCCTTGCTTGATACTTCAGCTGGACAAGGCCTCGGAATCAGGGCTGGGTTTTTGGTGCACCTGAAATCCTTCAAGTGCCGCAGCAGCGTCGGGTCAGAGCGTCAGGGTGACGTGTCCTGCAGGCAGCTGAGCTGGGAGGCAGCGCAGGAAATGTTAAAACACGTGGATGTTGAGCAGTGAAATGAGCAGCAGCTCAGCATCCTGATTCCTGCCACTGCAGGAGGGTTTAGATGTGGCCCCTGGGCTGCATGACCTGATTCCCAGGAGTCTCCCAGACAAGGGCAAGGAGCAAGGTGCAGGCAGAAGGAATTGTAGCCCCTGCCCTGGGACTGTCCCTCAAGAACTGGGCTCTGGCAGCTGTGCAGGTTAGGGATGGGGAATGGCTGGCAGGCCAGGGACAGGGTGGGACAGCAACCTGTGCATCTGATAAGACGAAAGAAAAGGGTTTTCTTCTATTTGTGTCTTCACTGTGGTGGGTTATTCTCCTTTCCAAGCTTCCTGTGGAGAAGACAGTCTTCTGAATGCATTAGAAGCTGCCAGTGGCTGCAGAAGAGTCCCTTACTCTTGGTGTACACTCCAAAATGTCCTGTGAAAGAATCTCAAGCACAAAGGTGGTTCTTGTTAGTGGCAGTAGACTTTGGCTTTCCATTCTTGTCCTTCTTCAAAGTGGCTTTTTTTTGGAAAGAACAGACAGACGTTTATGTGACTGAATCGTGTGGGTCACAAATAGGTGCACAAATAGTCTGCCATGAAGGGCATCATTTTAGAGCCATATTAGAGCACCAGAGAAGGTCTCTTGTGAAGTTCCACCTGGTCAGCACAGGGAACACTTTAAGGGGACTAAAAGTGGGGCCCTGCTGAATCCCTGGAATCCCCTGCCATGGATGTGCTCACAAAGCAACGTAGGAAGCTGGGAGAGGTCTGATCCCTGCAGAATTCCTGCAGGTGTCTGCAGCTGAGTCCAAAGATTGGACAGTGTGAGGCTTTGGAAAGAGCAGTGATGACAAGGAGAAGATCCTGTGACAGGGATAGTGTTTTTTCCTGCAGAGGTTTGACAGAAGAGGTTTGGGCAGAAGGAAGATGAAAGTTTGTTCTGTTCCAGTGGGGGTTTTGATAAGAAGATGGAGGGCAGGTGTGGAAGGGAAAGATGAACGTAGCAGAAGAGAGCAAGAATGATAGCTGTGGAGGATGCAGCAGGAAGAAATCAGAGCTGAAGCACAAGTGAAGTTGGGGTTGTTTCAGGCTGTGAATAAAAAGCACTGTAAGCTGGGAAGGTGCCAGGGCATGCGGTGTGACCGCAGAGCTGGCTGGTTAAGCCTGGCCTAGCAGCATACCTGCTCAGTGTACAAATCCACTGCTTTCCCCTTCAGGATGCTGGAGAGGGGAGCACTGAGTTTAATTGGTTATTTATCATGTCAGCTTATTCCTTGCATTTTCTGTGATAAATCCAATATGAGACTGCACGTTACAAGCCGACAGCTCTGCTGCTCTGCTGCAATCCCTCGCTGCATGCCTGGAATGCAGAGCAGGCAAAACTAAGCAAAGGAAAAAAACTGAAGTCCTGCTTCTTATGTAGTTTGTTTCTTCCAGGTGCTGTTTTAATTGATCAATACTGTAACCCCCTGTCAGACATCTGCTTAAAAAGTGTCCAGGCGCAGGTGGACGATATCACGGACAAAGTGCGCAAAGTCCTGCGGACCAAAAACCCAAGGCACCCCAGCTTGGCTTCCAAGGCAGGTACTGTACAGAAAATAAAGCTTTCCTGCAGGTCAGGGTCCAGGCAGCCAAGGGGAAACAGCTGTTGAATCGTGGCAGCTTGAGGAGTTGCTGTTCTTTATCCCCTGGCAAACCCACTCTGACGTTTGCTTAAACCATCAGTCGAGAAAGAGCTGTTTGTTCAGCCACGGAGACCTCACAGCCCGGGGTTCATCCATCTGATGCTGCCTAAGCAAACAGAACTGGGAGTGGAATTCTCTCTTATTCCTATTTATCCCTGAGGCCTTAATACTCCTGCTGTGAGCAGGGAAACAACCTCTCCCCTGCAAGTCCCAGAAAATCAGCACCAATAAAAAAGGTGCGTGTTTTAACATGGCCAAAGGTCAGTGTTTCCTCTGACAATGTTGGAAAATTACCCTAAGCTGGAATAGCTGTTCTTAAGGTGCATCAGTCTGATGCATAAAACCACTTGATTGAATGAATGGCTCAGTTAGCAATTGCTTGGTTTTATTCTGTTCTTTGAGTGTGGCAGTGGTAGGAGCCACTGGCACTTCTCAACTCACTTTGATTTCTTTTTAGGCAGGGGTGTCACTGTAAATCATTTGTAGGATGCAGTTAATAACAGACCCTCTAACAGTACTTCCCTCTGCAGTAATGACATGTTCTAAATACTCATAATATAGCAGTTCTTGATTGTGTGGGGCCTTTAGGCAGCAAACAGGCTGCTCAGGAAGAAAAATGCTTTTTATAAACACTCTGTGACATTTGCTGGCTTTCAAGGCCAGAGTGAGTCCATGTGAAGCTTTCTGGTGTGAGGATCACTGCACCAAGGTGAGGTGCTCTTGTTTCCTCAGTCTTTGTTTCATTGCACGTGCTTTCAGGGGAGGTCTCTGTTCCAGAAGTGGAACTCCAGCGGCAGGTGCTCGATGCCATGAACTGTGTCCTGTATGAGCAGTTAAAATACAAAGGAAACGAGCTGGATTACTACAACTCCCTGAATTCATACATCCACCAGGTACACTTCTGGCAAAAAAATATGAGACATTCTATTTGTGGTGTTTGTTTGTCCAAATATAGCCAGGCAAATAATCCTCTGTGAAGAACAACTTGCTGTAAAATACAGTTTAATATTTTAAGGCATATCCTCTCGAGTTGTGATGTTTTCATTTGTGAAATCAAACCTTAGGGGGGTTGTATTTTTTCTCAGCACCCCACGTGTCTTTGTCACCTTTGTCTCCCCCCAGGTTTTGATCCGCAGGACAGGAATTCCCATCAGTCTGTCTGTGCTTTATTTAACAATTGCCAGGCAACTGGGAGTCAAACTGGAACCAGTCAACTTCCCCAGCCATTTTCTCCTGAGGTGGTGTCAGGGAAAAGAAGGGTGAGTGACAAGCTGAATTTTGAAGCCAGAAAGCATTTACAACTCCAGACCTCTATGAGAATGTGTAATTATTTTCCACCTGGAATTATAACTTATACAGAGGAAAAGATCAGACCTCTGAGTTTCCCAGAACTCAGCTCTGCTGTTGTTGCTGAGTGGGAACAGATTTCCTGAAATAACAGTAACCACGAGGTGATGTTTCTCTTAAGAAATTAGGAAAGGGAGAGAAGGTCCCAGGTATTCTCTGTTTAGGAGGGAGCTGAGGAATAAATGACACCTGTTTTACACAAGTGCTGAGGGAGGAATAGAAATGGCTAATCCTGCTTTACCACCAGACCCTTCCTCACACCGCGGTTTCCTTGTGGTTTTTTAGGAGCACGGATATTTTTGACTACACCTACATCGATGCCTTTGGCAAGGGGAAGCAGCTGACGGTGAAGGAGTGCGAGTACCTGATCGGGCACCACGTGACAGAGGAGTTCTATGGCGTGGTGACCTCCAAAGAGGTCCTGCAGCGGATGGTGGGCAACCTCCTGAACCTTGGCAAGCGGTGAGTGGAGGATCTGCTGACCTCTGAGGGTGGTCCCCAGGGTCATCATAACCCAAAATTGCTCCTGCGCAGTTTTGGAGTGAGTGCTTCAAAAAAGGTGTCAGTCACCCCAGGAGATCCTCAAAATTCTGTCTGTCACAATGCGTTGTCTGGTTGCTTTTAATCACCTTACCTGAGTAGAAATAAGAACATTTAGTAGAATTAATTCCCCTCAAGAAAATTATTTTTTTTTTTTTTTTAATTTCTGAAAAGTTTATAGGGACTGTTCACCCTCCACTCTTCCCTTAAGAGCAGGGACCTTTGTTGTGATCTGAGAAGCAGAACCCACATGCTCAAAGGAGCAGTTTCAGAGATGCTGTCGGTGGGTAGAAAATCTGAAGTTTTATTTTCAGCTGCTCCTGATAATCCCGTTCCCAAGTAGCCACAGAAGTCACAGGAGTGAAAGCATTGCTTCAGGTGTTAGGGGGAACAAAAGGAGATTTCAGAAGGGAGTGGCTTGGAGAGTGAATTCTCTGTGCAGGATTGTTTGAGAGCAGTGGAGTGGGAGGGTAGAGCCCAGTCATCAGCTGTGCGGGGATTCTCCTCCTGAGCTGTTGGATGTGCCCGGTCCATGCTGGAATCACTGAGGGAGCATGCCTGTACCTGTAGCATCATTTCTGGGGACTCTCCCTGTCCATTGGACTGCTGGGGGTAGGGGTTGCAGAGCCTTACAACTGGGTTTCTTTTCTGCTGGCAGAGAAAGCACTGACCAGTCTTACCAGCTCTTGAGAGACTCCTTGGATCTGTACCTGGCCATGTATCCGGACAATGTGCAGCATCTAATGCTCCAGGCTAGGTTATACTTCCACCTGGGAATCTGGCCAGAAAAGGTACCTCTCCACTTGGTTGGGTGTTTTTTTGGGTAGGCTAAGCACTGTTAACACGGGGCTATTGATTTTTGGACTGCCTCAGCTTGTGTTACAGTCTGCCACAAGTTGTTTCCATAATAAATGCAATTGAATGAGTGATCACATTGCAGAGAATCAATTCCTACCATGCAGAGCAGGGAGGAGAGGATGATTCTTGCCTGCTTGTCCTAGGGGAGACTCATGAGCAGCCTCGAGCCATAATTTATGATTTACTGCCCAAGCCTCACAGCTTATCTTTCAAACAGCACTTTTAGCCATTAAGTTGCAAGATCATCCTGTTTGGTTTATGCCCAGATTGTGATAAAAGTCTTGCTGGACTCCTGCAAAAGGAGCAGTTACCTTATCAGAAAGCTTGAGGAAGTTATCTCTTATAAATATGGCCAAAGCTGTTCTCTGGAAATTTGGCCACACAACCTGTGGCTCTTGTGAAAAAGCAGCTTGATATTCCTGCCCTTGGAATTCTTTTGGACTGTTACCTTTAGTGTAGCAACTCGAGTCCTGCAGTCTTGTGAGTGTGGGAGAGAAGGTGCAGGGATTTATGAGTTGTCTAAATCATCCAGTTCTTTCACTGGATCAGGGGGAGGCACAGGGAAGAAGCCTGTAACTCAAAAAAAAGTATAATTTCTTTAGTGCTTCAGTGCAGCAAAGAGCTCAAAATTTCCTGTGCTGCTTCAGTGAAGCTCAACTTTAGGGCAGTGCCTGTGCCAGTCCCAAATGTGAGGGGTGGGGAGGGGGGCAGGAGTATGGGCTGAACATCTGAGCAGGAAACAAAGCTTTTCCCACTAAATTATCTGAGACAGGACTGCTGGAAAAGCTGCCTGCCTTCCTTTGGAAGAACAGACCGTGCTGAGCTTGGAATTTCTTTCTTACAGCAGCAAGTTTTAGGGTGACCACGGGAAAAACAGCACAAGCAAACTGTGTGTGGGAGGGACTCACTGATACCAAGTGGCAACTGTACATGAATAGGGGAGAGCTCAGTGAAACACTGGAAGATCTTCCTCCCCCTTCCGGGCCAGATGCAATGGAAATGGGCAAATTTGGACTTCCCAGGATTGCATCCAGTCCTTCCAGGCAGTTGTAGTTGAGCAGAGAGACAAGACAAATTTAATAGGGCTCTGCCAGATTTATGGGAAGTGGTAGAAAATTCTTAAAAGTCCTACAGAATGTTGTCCTAAACATTTGCAAATGACAGTAAATTAAATTCCCAAGAACATCTGGCAGCTGTGGTTACTGTGCTAGGCCTTCCCCTGCCTGTAGGATTTCTCAGGATTTTCACCTCTTTCTTAGTTCTTCAGGAAATTAAAGTGGCCATGAAGCCTGAGCTGTGTTTCTTCCCATACCAGATTACTCACCTGTTCTTTCTTTTTGACTGATTTCCCTCACTTCTTGGCTGATGGAACCTGAGATTTCTGTTCTTAAACTTCTGTTCATAAACTTAAGAGGGACCAAACCTTCCAGCACATGATCAAGGAGACAAACTCTTTGCCAGGTGCTAAAGTGTGTCAGATTTTGGGGCTGTGGCATCACTTGAGGTATTTGATGTTGGGACAGCTCTATGTCTCTTTTCCCAACGTGTGTAGGCAATAGGTTCGGCATTTTTTTCGTTGTTTTTACCAAAAAAAGTAAAATTTACGTCGCTTCCCCCTGACAAACTTGGCAGCAGATGCTTTGATGTTGTGCCAGAGGGTGTTGGAAGGCTGGAATCCTGGATCTGCAGGGCTTGCTGCTTTAAGAGCACCTTTAAAGCCGGTGTTCTTTCCTCATCCTGAGACAGGCAGGTTTTCTGTCTTGCCCACTATTCCATGGGAAAGCAGCACAGAGGTTATTTGCATTTCCTTCAGTGCTGCCCTGTTTTTCCCTGCCAGGCTCCCACAAGACACTGAGGAACTCAGTTCTAAGTTAAAATATTAGTTTTTAAGTACAGCAGAAGTCACGTGGAGTCTCTTCACAGCAGCAGTTTGGGGGGCTAACAACAGAATCCTCACCACATTTCAGGAACCCTGAGAAACGCATCTCAGCCCTGTGTCACAAACTGCCAGGGCATGACCTGGTGGGACTTAGTTCCAAGAAGTGCTCACCAGTGCCCTTCCTTGGAAGTCAGGAGCTGTACAGACAGGAAAGCAGAGCACTGTGTGCAGTTTGTGCAGATTAGACGTGAGGAGCGTGTAACAAGCAGAGAGCTCAGCGTGGGAAATCCCCGTGGCAGATCTCTAGGCCTGGGCTCTTACACCAGCTGAGTACAGGAATAGATCTGTCTGTATTTACACAAGTGTCGTGCTGCTGCAGAGGCCGGTTCTGAGTCTCTCTTTGTTTGGGTTGCTGAAGGTCCTGGACATCCTGCAGCACATCCAGGCCCTGGACCCGTCGCAGCACGGGGCCGTGGGGTACCTGGTGCAGCACACCCTGGAGCACATCGAGCGGCGCAAGGAGGAGGTGGGGCCCGAGGTGAAGCACCGCTCGGACGAGAAGCATAAGGAGGTCTGCTTCTCCATCGGGCTCATCATGAAGCACAAGAGGTGAGCTCTGCACAGCCCCCCCCCACGCTGCCAGCCCCCCAGAGCAGAGGGGGCTGCGGTGGCAGCAGTTGGAGCTGCCGGGGAGGCACCTGCGGTGGGAGATGCCAGGCACGTGCATCTGTGCCGTGGAGCGTGTAGGGAAATGGGAGCAGCTCTGTCTGTGCTGGCAGAGAGCGAGTGTTTGCACTGCTGAGGGACTGCAGAGGGGTTTGTGAGGGGACTGCTCTGAGTCCTGGGGTATCACACAGGCTGAAATTTCCAGCGCTCTCCGAGAAACATCATCATCGGTTAATGAGGGACCGTGGAACAGAATTAACTTCAAAGGAGATTCTGACATTTCTAAGAGCTTGTGGATCTTCCCCTGTGCTGTTGCTCCCTCCTCTCCCTGCACTGCACAGGGGCTCTGTGTTCCTGTCTGTGCTGCTCTGTCACAGTGACATGCCAGCATGGCCACTCCTCTGACTCAACAAGACATATTTTAAGGGCATCAGCAGTGACAGTTATAATACCTCTCGATTAATCCCATGAATATTCTGTAAATGATGATGCCTTTGTTTCTGGGAGCTCAGGGCTGGGATTACCACGTCTGTGTGATGGCATAGAATTGCACGGTGCAGTAGGGTGGTTCATTCCCTCCCTATTGCTTGTTTCCTGTTCTGCTTTCTGGCTTCCAGTCTCCTCCCTACCCTCTTTTCTTGCTCACATTTGGTTTTCCTTTGTCCTCAGCTGTTTATTCCTGTCTGTTTATCCAGTCACTCCCAGCCATTTCCCTCCACCTCAAAATACACACACACTCCCTCTTCCTGAGTTGTTTTTTTCATTTCCCTCTCCTCCCCTGTGCCAGCTCACAGGAGGTCCCTGTCCTGTCTGTGCTGTGTTAGTGTGGAGAGCTGGCTGTGGGGTTTTCACGGTGTTTGGGTGTGCAATTCCCCCCGTTAGGTACGGCTATAACTGCGTGATCTACGGCTGGGATCCCGCCTGCATGATGGGACACGAGTGGATCCGGAACATGAACGTGCACAGCCTCCCTCACGGCCCCCACCAGCCCTTCTACAACGTCCTGGTGGAGGATGGCTCCTGCAGATACGCTGCCCAAGGTGAGCAGGAGCCTCCCTGTGCCATGTCCGCAACTGCACTGGGAGAAAGGGAGGCTTAAGGGAGTAACTCCTTCATGTGGAACATGAACTGTCAGCAGGGAAGGAAAAGAACCCTGAATCTTGTTTGCTCTCCGTGAAATCAGCACTGCAAGGAGTGGGCATCGAGGCCCACTCTGGTGTAATTTCCTCTTGCCCAGGAAGTGTCTTTAAGCGACCTTAGAAACAGTTGTTCGTGACGAGTGTGGCCGGTTTTGTGGTTGCTGCTTTGAAAGAAGCAATTGGGCTTTTGCTGAGGGCTGAAGGTCTGCCAGCAGCTCTTCCTTCTGGAAATAATAGCTGTGCCTTGGACAGGACCTGCAAATGGGATCTGGGGAGGGAGCACACAGGCTCTGCTTGCAGGACTTGTCACTGAGACAGCACAGGATCCCAGAGAACACAGGTAGCCTGGCTTTTAGTGCCACCTTCATAAGAACAAAAATTAATGTCTCTTTACAACTGCAGAGAGGTGTAGAAATCTGTATCACATGTTCTTTGTGCAACATCCCGCAAGGGGAAATTCTTGATGGCCAGAATTTGTGGTTAGGGCATGGGAAGAGGTGTCAGGCTGAGGTTCAGAAGAAAATTAAACCAGAGAAGTGCATCTGTGACCCTGTATCTTGCCAAAAGAGTGTTTGTTTGCCTCGTGTTTGTGTTCTCCCTGTGCCAGGGAGGCAGCTGCACAGCCAGAGTGTGTTTTGCTAAGAGAAGGTGTGGAAGCTGCTGGAAATGCTGACCAAGATAGAGCCAGCCCTTTTCCTTAGGTGCTCCCTGGATATTCTCTCCCTGTGAGCAGGAGGTGGTTTTACAGGAAGGGACACCTTTGGAGATTTAAAGTGCAGGTGTTTCCCACTGTCCTAGAGTTGCTTTATGTTCAGTGGTCCAAAAAAAAAAAGTGGGAGCAGTAGTGGGAGTGTTACAGCTCAGCCTGATAGTCCATACTAGGCAGGGCTTGGCCTCTCAGAGAGTCTTACAAACCAGAAATTCTTGTGTGCTGTGGGTTGATACTAAAATGTGCATCTTGGACTAATCAGGTAATTGTCCACAGGGCTGCTGGGGCTGAGTCATTGCTTATCTTTTGTCTCATGGTTTATAAACAGGCAGAATTCTGGCTGGTCCCACGGTGCATTTCAGCCAAGCATCCAAGTGTTTCGATATTGCTTGGGAAACCTGTGGGGTTTGTCCCTGCTTGCTGCCTGGCTGTTGATATCCCCTCCGAAATGCATCCCGAGATCACCTGGGAAGGATGATTTCATAACCCCCTGACCTGACTCTGGGGAGGGAATGCGAGTTTTTTTTACTGAAAGAATCTGAAATAAATCTGCACGTGGAGTTTAATCTGACCAGCTCAGAAATATCACCAAGCTCGTTACAGGTAAATGCAGCTCAGTCTGAGGCCTTCCTGTAAACGTGATTCCAGAGCACCTGTGTCATGCAGCGAGTTTGCTGCCTCTGTTTTGCATCTGTGGCTCAGAACTGCTTGTCAGCAGGTTTTGGGAGGCTCCCACCTTGTGCTGAGCTCGCCTGTCTCGGGCTCTCTCCCCCTGCCAGCTCCTGCTCCTCCCTGAGCGCGGCTCCCTGCTCAGCCCCGCTGCTGCAGAGCCCTCGGAACGGGAATTCTTTTCCGCAGTGGTGCAGTATCCAGAGAGGTCCTTTGCAAGCCTGGAGGACTGGACTGCACCACTGCTGAGGGATAGAAAGCCCTGGTGCTTCTGCAGCAGCTTCAAAGAACCTGCATGGATTAATAGGAATTCTCTGGGCTCTCTGTAGTGAGCTGAATTTCAGAGACGGATTATTCCTGAATGACATTCTCTGCATCACTTCTTGTCCCTGTCCTGGCCAAAGTCAGGCTTTGAGACTTAGGCAGCCTTTTTTTATTTTTTTTTACTAGATAATAGTTGCTGTATTAGCTGGCACTGTGCTGGAAAAAAATGACATCATTTGGGGACTGCTGCAGGCCACCTGTGTGGGATTTACTGCCAGTCATGCTGACCCTACAGAGCACAGCAGCCCCGGGCTGGGGGGTCACCTTTGGGTTTTAGTGTTGGTTTAACTCTTGTTAATCAGTCCAAAGGAGGAAATGGGCTGCTGTGGGGAAGAATCAGCCTGCCTCTCTTAGGAAATTCCATTTAACTTGGGGAAGTTTGGGTTTAGAGGAGTTGATTTTGCTGTGAGATGCCCCAAACCCGGGCTGGGTGCTTGGCATGGTGGAGACACAGGCTGAGCAAGGAACCCCTTGGCTCCTCTACCAGGACGGGCTTGGTGGGCTCACCTTGGAGCATTTGAGGAGGATCTCTCCCAGAACTCATCTCCCGTGGGCCGTGAGGGATCAGGGCTCAGTGCAACAGCTTCTCCCTGCGCTTACCAGAGTGGGAGCAGCATCCTGCTACTCCAGCCCCAGTGCCAGGCAATCTCAGGCATAAAACAGTTCTCATGCCACCGGTAAGTGGGGTCACTTAGGAGGTGAGGCTCTGTGCCCACTCAGACTGCCATATTCCGTACACATTTTCCTGGATTAGGGGCTTTTTTTTAACTCCAAGCATCGGGATTTGGTGTTTCTAGAGCCAGAACAAAGACCTGAGACAGGCCCAAGATTTCTTGCCGTCTCCTGTGGTGATAACTGATCCTCTCCTTTCCTGGCAGAGAACCTGGAATACAACTCCGAGCCTCGGGAGATCCCTCACCCCGACATCGGCCGCTATTTCTCCGAGTTCACAGGCGTTCACTACCTGGCAAATACCGAGCTGGAAATTCGGTACCCGGAGGATTTGGAGCTCACACGAGCCACGGTGCAGAAGATCTACAGCTCGGGCAAGGAGTGAGTGCAGAAGGCAGCGTGGGGACAGAAGCAGCTGGAGCGTAGCTTTACCCTCTTGGCAAAACTTGCGCGGAAAGCAAGTTCGGTGACAATCCTTTGGCTTAATAATGCATTGAAAACTGCATTGAACTTTGAAACTGGTGCTACTGCATCTTTCCCTTGCCTGCCTGCCCGCTGTGGCCCAGGAGGCACAGGGACAGTTGAGGCCAAGCAGAAGGATCTTGCAGGGACAGCCGTGCCAAGGAAGCGCGTGGTCCTTGGGAAGGGTCTGCACCAACTACTCGTCCTGTGGTTGTCTTGCCTTAGGAGGCTGACACAGTGAGATCCCTGGTGTGGAACGTGGAAGAAGCCCCTCTTCCAGAGAAGGAAGTTGCTTGTCCTTGCAGCGCTGTGGGGTTTTCGTTTGGCTGTGTCTGTTTGCTTTGGGTTTTAATGTATATCCCGTGCAGGTGATAGTTTTTAAAGCCTCTCACCTTTCCCTGTCGTCCTCTCCGGTCTGAATTTTCGGTCAGGTTTTGCTTCACCTCTCTCTGTAGTCTGATTGTTCCTAGAGCTACTGTTCCAATCCTGAATATCCTTCTGGGCCTGGCAATATCCTTTTGGGCCTGGGAAAGAGCCCCAGCAACAAAACCAGCAGCACTGAGGCTTCTGGGGGTGGCAGGCACTGGGTCCAGCAGCCACCTCGCTGAGGACACGAGACTCTCCTAAAGCAGCAGAGGAGCTTCTTGTCCTTTTCCACGCCTGCTGAACACACCCAACCCGTGTTCTGTGATCTGTTCCTCATGTGTGTCCAAGGCAGGACCTGTGGCATGGCCTGAGTGCTCCCAGGACACTTTGGAACCCCGTGGCACTTTGGTGGGAGCCTTGGGGCCGGTGCCACAATGACTCTGATGTACAGGGAGCTGCCACTCGCTGCCACCTCTGATCTATAGGTATTTATGCAATACATTGGAATTATGACTGGAAACTGGCCATCCCCAGAGTCAGCCAACCTGTGTATGGAAACAAGATGTTGATTCCTGCAGCTTGAGGCCTTCTTCCTTTTTGCCAAAAGAGACTGGATTCTGGGGGAGCACAAACTTTGCTGCCTGCAAGGGACATGAATTTTAACATGACTTAAAGACCCAGACAGAACCACAGCAGAAGAGGTTTTCCTCTGGGTTCAGGGGTGCAGAGTGACAGTGTGCATATCTTTGTGGTTTCTGAAGCAATGTGTGTAGAGTAGCTGCAGCTCCTGTCTCCTGTCACTGTCCAGTTGCGACACAGTAGTTCTCTCAGAGCTGAGAATTAGGTCCCTGTAGAATTAGGTGGATGCTCTTAGTCTCTTGTAGCACTTCAGGTGAAATCACAGAGCCCTGCCCTAAAGCAATGCTTGAACTGCATGTCACCCTCCTGCAGTCCTGGTCACCCTCCTGCAGTCCTGGTCACCCTCCTCCTGCAGTCCTGGTCACCCTCATGCAACTCTGGTCACCCTCCTGCAGTCCTGGTCATTCTCCTGCAGTCCTGGTCATCCTCCTGCACTCCTGGTCACCCTCCCGCAACTCTGGTCACCATTCTGCAGTCCTGGTCACCCTCCTGCAGTCCTGGTCACCCTCCTGCAGTCCTGGTCATCCTCCTGCAGTCCTGGTCACCCTCCTGCAGTCCTGGTCATTCTCCTGCAGTCCTGGTCATCCTGCAGTCTGGGTCACCCTCCTGCAGTCCTGGTCATCCTCCTGCAGTCCTGGTCACCCTCCCACAACTCTGGTCACCCTCCTGCAGTCCTGGTCATCCTCCTGCAGTCCTGGTCACCCTTCTGCAGTCCTGAGCTCTGGTTGTGTGTCAGAAATAAACACTAAAAGCCCAGCACATTGCCCCTGGAGTGGTGGTGATGGTCTGCAGGGACCCCAGGCCTTCAGGGACAGCAGCCTGGAGTGTGCTGAGGAATGGGGAAGATGCTCTGCTCCAGGGGGAGCTGTGAAGGATCATAGTCACAGAATCCCAGAATAGTTTGGGTTAGAAGGGAACTCAAAGTTCATCTGCTTCCCATGGGCAGGGCCACCTTCCACTAGAGCAGGTCTGCACTGAAATGAACTTGGAGGGAGGAATTCCCATTTTGAATCAGGGTAGGGAAACCTTGGACAGAAATCTTAAAACCCATCCCCTGTTCCTGAGGGTTGGAGCAGACCCCAGCCCCTCAGCCCTTTTTGAGGGTTGAAAGCAGCTCCCAAAAGATTCCTAGCAGGGATGCAAAGTTGGGAATGTTGCTGTGGAGTCCCAAGGTTGATGCTGGGAGCTGAGAACAGGCAGGGCAGAGTTTGGGCTCCCTGTTCCCAGTCCCAGCTCTGGATGTCACCGAGTTTCCTTGGCCTCTGCCGAATGGGCAGTCTGGTGACATCTTGGCCTCTCTCCAGTGCATCGAGGGAATTACAGTGAGCTCACAGGAGCTCTCAGGTGCTGCCTGAGTGCCAGGTAGAGTTGTACCATAAAAATACCCATGGGAGCCAACAGAAGCCACACAAAGTTGCCCTGAAAATCAGTGCTGGCCAGTGCTTATTGAACCCGCGTGGCCAGGGGTCCCAGAGCTGTTCTGTGCAAGAGGGATGGATGTGCTGTGAGGGACTGGGTGCACAGGGCAGCCCTGGAGCTAAATCCTGATCCCTTTGGCAGGTGTTTTGTGGGGGAACTGTGTCCTCAGCCTTGGATGTGCCAAATCTGGAAGAAACTTGAGGTGCTTCAGTAGACACCACACAGCACCAGTCCCGGGGGCCAAGTCTGCTTTTGGGACTTCAGACAAACACAAAGTGTGTAAAGCCCCCCTGTTTGTTCCCATTTGGGTTGGGGTGGCCCCTCTGCCGCCCGTGCTGTTTGCTCTGGGTGGAGTTTTGCTCTTGGTGAGGAGGAATTCCCAGCTGAAGGATCTGCAGCTGTAGGAGGCTTCAGCCCAAGCATCCAGGGTGGCCAGGGAAAACTGGAAACACCCCCCAAGGATCCCTCTCTGTCCCTGCTCGAGCAGCCTCTTGGAATGCACATCAGATCCTGCAGGTTGCACATCCGGGGTCCCACACGGCGGGAAATGCCTCTGTGGGATAGTGGGGTGACATTTGCTGTTTCCCTGTGCTCCCTCCCCTCCTGGCAGCACAGGAGGGGGTTTCCACAGTCACCTTTTCCCCAGGAAGACTGCAGTGGATCCCAGAAGTTCCTTGTGTCCATGAGTGTCCAGAAGTTCCTTGTGTCCAGGTCCACGTCAGTGTTCATGTTCATGCCGATGCACCCAGAGTGCAGTTTGTCCTGTCTCTGTGGAGCTCTCCAGGAGAAGGGATGTTTCCTGGAAAAGATGGAATTGCCTCCCTTCTCTCCCACCATCCAACCAAGTGGAAAGCCTGGCCAGGTTCCTCTGCAGTGCCAAAATCCTCTGGTCCTGCATCCCCTGGGAGCAGAGGGGTGAATTTCCTGCAGCTCAAACCACCTTCTCCCTTCCCTTTCCACGTCATCGGCCATCTGTCCTGGGGGCAGAACAGCCCAGGGTAAAATCTGGAGGGTGAAGGAAAAACAGAATGGGGGAAGAGGAGGCAGGGAAGCAGGAGGAATCCCTGTTTGGGTCGTTAGGAAAAGGACAGGGAGCTGAGCAGCAGCAGCCGTGGGCTGGTTCTGAGCTGTGCCACTGGATCCGGGGGCTCAGGGATGTTACAGGAGCACCATTCCCGGGTTTCCTCTAGCAGGGAGTGAGGCCTGTGGGCAAAAGCATCCGTGGGAGGTTTGTCCACCCTTACAGGCCAGTGTCTTGTGAGAGAGGCTGCAGAGCTGCTCCCTGCCCTCCACCCGCAGAGTGTGTTCCCTGGCACAGCTGGTGGTGCCTCATCCTCTTGGGAAGCCCTTCCAGCCCTCCCAGACCCCTCCCGACACGCAGGATCAGCAGGAACATGCTCAGAGTGCCCTGACACAGCCAAGGGCTAGGAGGGTGGCCTCTGTGACAAACCATGAAGTTTGTCACCAACCTCTGCAGGAAAACCAGACCCTGGGACCCTCCAGGCCTGCCTGGGGCCAGCAGAGGGTGAGGAAAGGCCTGGGGCGGGAGAAGGGCTCCTGGGATGTCCTGGTCCCTTCCAGACCACCTTCACCTGCACACCAGGTTGCTCGGGGTGTTGTCCTGACTAGTTCTGAGCATCTCCCAGGGCCCTGCCAGCCTCCCTGCTGGCTCTTCCCCCGCAGAGGACACAGGGACTGTGCAGGCAGGGACAGAATGGTGCTGTGTTCCCCCACTCCCCCCTTCTCCTCTGGGCTGGAGGGGCCTGAACCAAACAAAAAGATACATTTGATGGAAAAATGCCCGGAGGGTGCAGAGTCCCGAGTGCCAGGGCGCCCGACACAGCTGAGGCTGCAAGATGGGGATGTCTCTCCTTCCTCCTTTTTTATTTAGAAGCAGGTATTTTCCTGGATCTAGGACAGCTGGAGGCTGGAAATGATTTGATCCTTTTCCTGTTTATATTTGGCTTTAAAAAAATAAACGACACTGACTTGCTATCCCCTCCCACGGTGTGCTGTGCTTTCTGAGCTGCCTCCCAACCTCCCTGTGTGCTCTCCCGACCGGGGCTTTGCTCTTCCCTGTGTCCGTGGGAGGCTGATGTGGCCCTGCCAGTGCCAGAGCCCGGTCTGGCACCGGGGGAGATGGTGACAATCACCCACCTCTGCACCGGCCCTGCCAAACCTGCCTCCTGCTGGAGGGCTCAGGTGGGAGCCGGGAGTTCCCCTCGCTGAGGGAGATCCCGGCCCGCATTCCCGCAGCCAGGATGGGCAGGGAGTGGGGGGACACTGGGGGGAACTCCACACCTTTCTCCTGGGGAATGGTCCCCGTGCAGCGCCAGAGGCACGAGTGGGCACAGCGGGGGCTTCGGGTGCCACTGGCTCAGGACGGGAATGTCCCCGCTCCCAGAGGGTCCCGCCCAGGCCGGGATCTTGGCACGGCTCTTCACTCTGGAGCCTGAGGACTGCGGGGGGTTAACCCTGGACTTAAGGACGGCTCGGTGTTAACTCTGGAGCCGAAGAACTGCGGGGTGTTAACCCCGGACCTAAGGACGGTCGGATGTTCTCTCTGTCCCTGTCCCGGCCCGGTGTTCTCTGTCCCCCTCCCGGCTGGGTGTTCCCTCTGTCCCCGTCCCAGCCCGGTGTTCTCTGTCCCCGTCCCGCGGTGTGTCGGGGCGCAGGGACCCGGGGCGGCCCCGCCGCCGCCTCCCCCGCCGCGCCCGCCCTTATAAAGCGCTGTCGGCGGCGCTGCCGGTTCAGCGCCCGCGGCGCCGCTCCCGGCACGGCCCGGGATGGGCTCCGCGCACTCCGTGCCCGCCGAGATGCGGGAGCTGGCGGACAGGACCGGCTGTGAGTACCGGGGGCACCCTGACCACCCACCCAGCCCACCCCTGCGGCCGAGGGGACACGGGGTGCCCGGCCCCGCGGGTGACATGTCACCGCGGCAGGACGTGTCACCGCGGGTGGGGAAAGGTGGCACCTGGGAGGGTGGGGGTGCAGGACGTGTCACCCGGGAAGGGGGGGATGCAGGAGGTGGCACCTGGGAAAGCGGGGGGGTGCAGGACAGACATGTCACCCGGCAAGGCGCGGGGGGATGGTGCAAGACGTGTCACCTGGGAGGGGGCTGCAGGAGATGCCACCCGAGGTGGGGGATGCGGGACATGTCATGTCATGTCACCCGCGGGGGCTGCAGGAGGTGGCACCTGAGCGGGCGGGGTGTGCAGGAGATGTGATGTCACCCGGTGGGAGGATGCAGGAGAGGTCACTCGGGGAGGCTGCAGAGGTGTCACCTGCGGCGGGAGAGTGCAGGACGTGTCACCTGGGGGGGAGGGAGGGGATGCAGGTTTGTCACCCGGGGGACGGCGGGGACAGAAGGGGAGGGGGAATGGGCAGGAGGGTGTAGACTTGTCACCAAAGGGTTGCCAGCATGTCACCAGGGGGCGGGGGACGCAGCCGAGACCCCCATGCCACGAGGCGGGGTGTGGAGCGGTCACACGAGTGAGCCCCAGCGAGGCTCTGCCCGCCCCCGCCCCTGGTGCCGGGAATTGTCCCCGCACGGCTGCTTTGCCCTGGAGCCGCCCGGCCGTGACAACCTCGGGGCTGTTACGGGGTGGTTCGGGACCAAGGGACCAGCAGGCAGGGAAGTGCAGCAGGGACAGCCCAGGGCTCCCAGCAGGGTCTGGGGGTGGGACCGGGTGGTCGCGTCCCTCCCGGGAAATGCCATCGCTCCAGGACCGGGGCAGCCCCGGGCACAGAGATCGGGCTGCTCCCGCCTGGATCCTCCGGCTCCCGCCGTGCTGGGAGCAGGCTGGGATGGAGGGAGGAGTGAGGGGGAAGCTCTACCCGCGGCCCAGAAGGTGGTGGTGGTGGGGGTGCTGAGAGGGTCCAGCAACTCTCCCCAGAGCTGCTGCTGATCCTGGGGTCACATCTGCCTTCCTCCCCTCTCCTCCTCCCCCCGGGCGGGCTGAGCATCCCAGCACCGCACTGGGCACCCCGGGGTGGGCTCAGCCCTCCCCACTGGGGAGCCCGTGGGGTGCCAGCCCTGGCAGCCCAGGGTGGGAGGAGGTTTTTGGGGAACTCCCTGGCCTGGGGAGCAGCAGCAGCTCCAGCACAGGCAGCACCTGCCCGTGGGAGGCACCTGCCCCACGCCCCAGTGCCTGTGAATCAGTCCCAGGGAGGGGTTTACAAGGGCAGCTCCCCGAAGAATCCCATGGAAACCAGAGGTGGGAGGGCAGGGGGAGCGCAATAACCCCGTGCCAGGAGTGGGGTGAGTGTCATGTGCTCCCAGAGGGACTCACAGGGTTCCCACCATGCTGTGGCTGCTGCCAAAAGAACCTGGGAATTCAAGGGTTTTACAGCCTTGCTGCTGCAGTGGGATCTCATGGAAGGAATCACAGCCACCCTTGGGAGGAGCAGGGACAGGGCAGGGCCACCTGCCTGTCCCCAGGATGTGCCCATGGCTTGTTCCTTTGCCTTCTCCCCTGCTGGAGGGGCAACCTGAGGCTGCTGTTTCCCCTCCCTGCCTCCCTGTGCTTCACCCCAAAGCTGCAGCAGCCAGTCCATCTGGGGCTGAGGAGGCTCTTCCCGGGATGGTGAGACCATTCCCTGCACCCAGGCCAGTCCCAGGGGGATGGCAGTGCAGGGCTGGGCCTCCCCAGTGTCCCTCTTCCCTTTGCTGGAGTGGCACAAACCAGCACAGGCTGGGAGCAGCAAACCCAGCTCCCTGTGGTTTAAATCCCAATTTTCCCCCCTTTCAGCGTAGGCTGTCGTGCTTGGGCAGGGGTCTGCATCACCTGGATATTCTCAGGGATATTCCCAGGGATGTGAGCAGCCTCTGCTGCCCTTGAGTTGGCCCTTTCTCCCAGCAAAGCCTTTGCCCCTTGTGCGGGTTTTCCCTTTTATTTTTTCTGGAAAGCACTGCCACCCTTGGCAGGGCAGAGTGAGGTCCTGCCCTGGGAGGAAGACCTGGGTTTGGAAAAGCAGGAGGAAGAGCCCTCTTTAGGCCTTGCAGCTGTGGGCTGGATGCAGAGCAAGGCTGGACCCACCACGAACGTGCCACTGTCCCCAGTTTTTTGTCACACTGGGACATTTTCTGGGGGAAGATCAAAGATTTCTGGTGTGCAACCAAGCCCCGGGTGCCAAAGGCCTGGTGGCCCAGCTGCTCCCACGGTGACAGCGATGTTGTCGAGGGAGAAAAGTGAAAGGTCACTTCTCCATGGCCAAAATTGGAAAGCAAAGTCCAGAGAAAGTTTCTCTGAGTGTGTGTGTGTGTGTGTGTGTGGACAGAGCAGAGCGGCAGCCTGAGGGATCAGGGAGAAAAAACATCATAGGGATGAATCAGTGGGGCCCAGGCAGCTGGGAATCAGCACCAGGGGGTTCAAGGGGCACCCCAAATGCAGGGGGGTTAAAGGTGCTGGTGGCTGCCAGTGCAGGCAGGTCCAGGCAGGCCCAGAGCCCCAGGACCAGCACAGATGGGTTTTCCAGTCCATTTAACAGAGGTCTGGGAAGGCTCAGCCTCGCTGATCAATACAGTTGCTATTTCAAGGCCGTGGAGCAGCAGTGAGGAATGCAAAGGACATTATTTAAACATCAGAAAAGGGAAGGAGGGAGGTAGGGAGGGAGAGGGGGAGGCAGCAGCACTGGCCCAGCACTGGCCTGGTGTCTCTCAGCCACAGCACTTAACCATTTGCAACCCCTCAGCTGCACTTTAATGTGGTTTTCTCTTTCTCCACGGTGCCAAGGAAGGCTGATGTCCAGCTGCTGGTGCAGCCCTGCCCTGGGCCAGCTCCTCAGCCACCCTGTGGGTCCTGCTGGTGCCCAGACTACTCCGCCAGCCCCTGGAGACAGGGCTGCAAACCACTTCCCTGGCTCCTGGGGAAGGCCTCTGTCAATATTTGCACAAGAGTCAGGCTCTGCGTGTCCTCAGGGGGTTGCAGAGCTTGGTTACAGCCGCAGGGAGTAGCTGGGGAAGGATAAAATCACCTGTGGGTGGGACTGGGGAAGGGAGAAGGTGCTGCTGAGCCTCCCTCTGTAACCCCAGCGCTCCTGGGGCTCAAAGCAAAGCTGCTGACCCCAGTTCCAGCCCTACCCCAGCTCTGGGATTGCTGCAGCCCCGGGGCAGGCAGTGCCCACCTCGGTGGTTTGTGGTGTCCCAGTTCACCCTGAACAGCAGCAATTCCCAAGCTGGGCTTTGCTTTTGGGCTGCCAACGTGTGCCCTCCGTGCCAGCCTTTCCTCCTCCCTGGCAAGGTGCTGCTGTCAGCTCTGGGCATTGCGGATTCCAGGGGGATTCCCTGCCACCCCTGTGGACACGGGCACAGGAACCTCCCAGTGCGGGGGGAGATGCTCACAGACAGCGGTGCCCCAGGAACAGGCTGTGGTGCCCCCACTCTCCTCGTGTCCCTGGGCAGGACATGAGCTCGCAGGGGGATCCCCCGGGGCTCTCCTGGGGAGCTCAACACCCCCATCCCCTCCCTCTTGTCCCCGACAGTCACCTCGGAACAGATCGAGCACCTGCACCGGCGCTTCAAGCAGCTGAGCCAGGACCAGCTGACCATCCGGTACGGCATTCCAGTGCCGGCATCCCGTTCCCAGTGCTGCCATCCCATTCCCAGTGCCAGCATCCCATTCCCAGTGCTGCCATCCCATTTCCAGTGCTGCCATCCCATTCCCAGTGCCCACAGCTGCATTCCCACTGCTGGCATCCCATTCCCAGTGCTGCCATCCCATTCCCAGTGCCCTGGTCAGAGCAGCACCCACAGCACCCACGTTCCCGAGGGTGCCCAGGCGGGCTGTGAGGATGAGTGTGCCCCTCCCAGCCCTCCCCAGCCCTGCTGAGCTGCCTCTCCGCAAATGATCCCGGGAAAAATGAGCAGTGAAGCAGTGGCCCGAGAGCAGGGTTGCTCCTGGCCAACAGGCCCAGCTTTCAAATCGGTTTTGGGGAGGGAATGGGGCTGCAGTTGCCTCGTCCCCCTCCTCGGTGCCTGTGCAGGGAGCTCTGCACCGAACCCTTGATGTCGCTTCCTTTGGGAAGCTCCGGAGCATCCCAGCAGCTTCCCCAGCCAGGAGCCCAGCTCCCCCTCCCGGGGGTTATTTCCTGACTCATTTGCTTTGTAAACACTTGACAGCAAACGACCAGCACAGGCCCAGCCCGGTGGCACAGCACGGGGGCACAGCGGGACGTGGAGGAGGCTGAGGGCAAGTTGGGCAGCAGGAGCTCCTTCTCCTGCCTCGTTGAGCCCATTTGAGGCCCTATTCCTGGGAAAACCCTTTAAAAACCGCCCAGCCATTTGCAGGCCAAGCCTTGCCATCATCCCAAGTATCCCAGAGCTTCCCAAAGCCCCGATTTAGTGGGGACCAAATTCCACCATAGCTGCGCCAAGCACAGACTTGCTCTCTGTCTGAATTGAGGCAAAAAGGAGTTTTCACCCAAAACCTCTTTATTTTTCCATCGATTGCTTGGGAAGAACAGGGTTGGGGCTTCCAGTGGCATCTCCCTCCTCCCTCCCTCATGAGATTTGTCCCTGTTTCCTTTGCAGCAAGGAGAATTTTGACAGCATTCCCGACCTGGAGTTCAACCCAATTAGGGGCAAGATCGTCCACGCCTTCTTCGACAAGCGGTAGGAGCACCCCCAGCACCACGGGGAGGGGCAGGGTTGGTGGCTCAGCCTCTGGGAGCAGGATGTGGATGGGGACAGATCTTCCTAAAGGCTGGGATGGAGCCAGGGGCAGAAATTACAGAAGTTTAAGTTAAATCTTAGGGACAAACCAGGTTTGCTGAGGGATGTGATGGGGTTTGTAGCAGGTGGGAGGGGGGGCTGGAGGGTCCTGCCCTCCCATCTCCCCACTGTCGGCAGGAACCTGCGGCAGGCGTCGGACGGGCTGGCGGACGAGATAAACTTCGAGGACTTCCTGACCATCATGTCCTACTTCAGACCCATCGAGATGAACATGGACGAGGAGCAGCTCGATCGCTTCCGCAAGGAGAAGCTCAAATGTGAGGCCTCCCGGGACTGAGGGGGTGGGAAATGGCAGGAAGGGGCCGCCCTGACCCCACCACGCTCCTCTCGTCCCTTCCCAGTCCTGTTCCACATGTACGACTCGGACCACGACGGGAAGATCACGCTGCAGGAGTACAGAAATGTAACTACGGCCCCTCCCGCCCCCTCCCCGGGGCATTCCTGGCTTTGACCTGGCTGTGTCTGGTAGGTGGTGGAGGAGCTGCTGTCGGGGAACCCCCACCTGGAGAAGGAGTCTGCGCGCTCCATCGCCGACGGGGCCATGATGGAGGCCGCCAGCATCTGCGTGGGACAGATGGTGGGAGCTGCCCCCCTGCTCGGCCGGGGGGCTGGGGCGCTGTGCTGGTGCCAAAAACGGGGCTGGGAGGTGTCTGTCCTGCCCAGGGCACCTCCCAGCTGCTTGGGCTGGAGGTGTTTTTGCAGGCAGCAGCTTTCAGGGTGGGTTTGTTCAGTGATCAGAGCCCAAGGGGGATGAGCAAACAACCCCATCCTCAGAGATCGGGGAGTTAGTGCTTATGGAAAAGGTGGTCTGGGAACTAATTTTGGGCTGGCCATGGGGTACAGTGCTGTGCACTGTCCCACTGCCCCAGGGGACCCACCCCGGGCCACCCAGTGCCCCCAGACCCCTGTGCTGCTGGGGTGGGGCAGCTGCGATGTTTCCTCTCTTGCTGGCACAGGGGCCGGACCAGGTGTATGAGGGCATCACCTTCGAGGATTTCCTTAAGGTTGGTGGCATCTGCCAGGAATGGGGGGGCTGGGAGGCCTCAGGGAACCTGGGGTCGGGCTCCTGGCCACGCTCATCCCTGTCTCCCTCGCAGATGTGGCAGGGGATCGACATCGAGACCAAGATGCACGTGCGCTTCCTCAACATGGAGACCATCGCCCACTGCTACTGAGGGGCAGGAGGAGGAGGAGGAGGAGGAAGAGGACTCGGCAGCAGCTCCGTGTTCCCGGCACCAAGCACTCTGTCCCCGCCCGCGCTGGGGCTGCCGCTGCTCTCTAGAAACATAAGAGGCTTTTATCTGTAATAAAAGGTATCTCTGTTTTTACTCCTTGCTCAGAAATGCTCCATCCATCCATCCCCCAGGGCCTGGTGGGGTGTGTCCCTGTGCAGAAACCCCGCTCCACAAGCCCTGCTCTCCCCATAAATCCGCATTTTCAGCCTCTGCCCCGTGCTGCTCTGGGGAAGGAGCTGTGAGCCCCCTGATCCCGGGCCATGGGGGGAGTGTGCAGGCAGGGATGGGGATGCCGAGGAGCAGGAGGGGAGGGCAGCATCCTCAGCACCTGAGAGGACAATCACATCCCACTCTGCATCCCCACAGGATGCTCAAGCCAGCAAAGACGGGAACAACTCACGGAATAACCCCAGTTTAAACCCAAACCAGCCCCCAGGGCCAGGAGGAGCCAGGCTGGGATAGAGGCAGCAGGGATGCAGGGACGTGGGCTCCTGGCAACCAGGTGGCTCCTGCCCCCACATGTTCCCGCTGGAAAAAGGCACCGGAGACAGGGGGTTGTTTACTGGTATTAATGACTGGATGGCTCCAGGCTCGTTCCTGTCGCTAAGGCAGCCTGAGCTGGGGAGGGAGGGGGAGGAAAAAAAAAAAAAAAGAAAAAAAAAAAAAAAAAGGGCAAGGGTTATTTTTAGAAAAGCGGGAGAGATTTATTTGTTTTATCAAAAATGGCTTCCCCTGGTGACATGTTCAGTGGCTGGGAACAGAGCTCCCTCCCAGCCGACAGCGGGCGAGGGGCTGCGGGAGCCGCCACAGCCCCTCCATCCCCGCGGGCAGCGAGCGGGGACACCTCCCTGGCTCAGCGCAACAGCAGTGCCTCCTTTCCCGTATTGCTGGGGGTCTCTGCTGTGCTCAGGCTCAGATAAATGACTCCCCTCGCAGGCTTCGGCAGCTTTGTCCCCTCGAAATCGGCATTGCCAGCCGCTGGACACGGAGCTGCTCCGGAGCAGCTCCTGGAGCGGCAGCGGGAGGAGGGAGAGCTGGCAGCGCTCACCCCGCACAGCGCAGCCCTTCCCTGCAATGCGGTCCTGCCCTGGAGGGACCTGAGCTGTTGGTTGAGGTGCCTGGTGCCGGCACACAGTGCTGCACTGGGCTGGGAGCAGGACTGGGGCTGGGCTGGGCTGGGGGTGGGAGCGGGGTTGGTGCCGGTGCTGCCGGTGGGGGCTGAGCACCAGGGATCGGGAGGGGATGGCAGTGATGGAGCTCCCGGCTGTTCCGACACGGCCATTCAGGCCCCGAGGGGCCCCGGGGCTGCCCCACAGCCCGGTTTGCATTTGCAGGGCTCTGGGGTTCAAATCCTGCTCTCCTCTGGCTCCTCTGGGCACCCCCTCTCATTCCCGGCGCCACCACAGCGGCACCACCCAGGGCACGGGGGCGGTACCGACCCCCGACTGACACTGAACTGCTCCTGAACCTCTAATCCTCCTCCTCTTCCTCCCTGGGCCGGCCCCTCTGTGCTCCCTTCCCACCCCACCACATGAGGACACAACATCCAGCTCCTCCTCCCAAAATCCCCAGGTTTCAGGAGTCAACCCAGGCTCCTTCCCCTGTTTCCTCACCGGGATTTCCATACAGACACCGCAGGACCATCCCACTCCCTGAACCAGCAGCAAGTTCCGTGCTCCTGGTCACAGCCCAGGCCCTTTTGCACCCCTGGATCCCCCAGAGGGGCTGTTTGTCCTGGGAGGAGCCTTTGAAGTTGCTGGGACTGCAGGGTTTGACATCAGGTCGTGGTCCCGCTGCCCCTCCACGCTGTGGTTTCCTGGGACAAGACACCCAAGGGGATCCACGCCAGTCAGGGCTGGGCACACCATCAGTGCAGGGAGGCAGAGGGCAGGAGGACTGAAGAGTATTGGTAAGAGGATAATTATTACCCCTTGAGCTAATTAGCTGTCCCCAGTATTCTGTGGGGTGGGGTGGAAAGTGTGGGAGCAGGGATTGCGGGAAGCAGGGGCTGGAGCCAACAGAGTCCTCTGCAGGAGATGGGATGAGGTGGAGAGGAGGGAGGTGAAAGCAAAGGGCTGATGGATCCTCCAGGGCAGGAGCATCATTCCTGTGCCAGAAGAAAGCCAGGGAAGCACAACCCAGGGCTGGTGTTACACACGACAAACCCCAGCGAGATGGAGGATAATAATCCTGTAAATCACTGGGAAATCTGGCAGAGCCCTGGGAAACCTGGCAAGGGTGAGGCTTCTGTTGCAGCCCCTCTCTGACAGCAACTGGAACAGGGACTGACAGAGGTAGGCAGGGGCAGGAGAGCAGAGGTCGAGTGGGAAAGGCCACAGGGTGGGAGGGGAAGGTGCTGCTCGAGGCAGACACCCCTGTAGTCCCTCTCTGCACAAAGAGCACCCACTGCTCCTCTCCCACCACTCCTCAGCATCAGGAGAGGGATGGCAGCCCCCGAAATGCTGGAATCACTCTTCCCCCACTGCCCAGGTGGACAAGGTCACCAAACAGAGGCAAAAAGCACTTTCTGGGGGCCTTTGCTGGTGGGCTGGCCCCAGAGCGTGTGGAGGTTTTTCCAGGGCAGATTTTCCAGCACAGCTGAGCACGTCCTGCCCTGTCCTTCCCGCTGTGCTGAGCAGCTCCGGGGCTGGGCAGCTGCTGCAGGCTGAGCACACACAGCTCCCCTTTGATCTCGGATTCCCTTTGGAGCAGAGATCCTTCTCAGCAGGGAACGGACACCTCTTTTTAGCTGAGGGTCACTGTCACCAGCAACAGACACCAGCAGTTGTTCTTGAGGCTTTTTTTTCCCCTGAACTATTTCCTCCTTGGATGCCTTTGGATCTTTAGCTGTCCCCAGATACCCAGCCCAGCTGAGGGTCACCAGCCTGGCACATGACACCAGTATGAGCCCTCACCTTCAGCCCAGCCTGCCAGGTCAGTCCTGACTGCAGCTGCTCAACTTGAGCCAAAACCAGAAGAGATGTCCCTTCCCAGTGCCCATCCTGGTCTGACACAGCTCTGGGCTCAGCTTTGCCCTCACCTGCACAACCTGCACTGGGGACCAGGAGCCCCCAGATGGGAAGCCCAAAGGTGGCATCACCCCCCACAGGATGGTGACTCCATTCCTGCTCCTGGAATTAAGGAAGAGGCTCCATCTAAACGCCCCCCAAGCCCAGCCTGAGCAGCCAGGCCAGGTTTGCTCCTCTCCAGCCCCACTCCAGCGCAGGGTTAATGAGCAAGTAGGCACTGCTCAGCACCTCAGGAGTCACAAGGCTGAAGTAATCCCCCCACAAAGTCATTTATGCTACAGGAATTTGTCATGTTTCTGCTGAACTCTCATCCCAACTGTGTATCCGTGACACTTCTTGCTCTTCCAGGAATGGAGGGAGGGAGCTGGCTTCCCAGAAACAGGAAAAGAGACCAAAGCTTTATGAAAGATCAGATTTATTGGTCAGACAGAATGACTTCGCCTCTTGCACTGCTTGTTATCCATCACAAGGAAAAAGCCAAGTGTTAAAAACCAAGAACATGAGAAATTTGGCTCAGGGGTCATGGAAAACCAGCCCAAGCCAAAGAAGGAAACGCTGCTCTCCAGCCAGGAGGGCAGCAGGAAGCTCTCCAGTGCCTGGAGAAGGGCTGAAGTGACAGCCCAGCCCCTCTCCTGCAGGTTTGGGCACATTCCTTCACCCCTCCCTGGCACTTTCACATGGATTCCATCAATCCAGCAAAAAGATGTTCAGTTAAAACTTAACCTTGGTTAACAGAACTGGCATGGCTTTGGTTTGCACCAGTTAAGTTTACAAGGGCAAACCACAACCACAGAGCTGTTTTAAAGGAGTGAAACAGGTCCAGGGCTGGGGCTCTTGTTCTCCAAGCTGGTTTCCCCTGTGTCAGTGCCACCTGGGTTTAGGGTGAGTGTCCCTTCAGCCTGGGGGCTCCTCCACAGCACTGGTGACCTGGGCAGGGACACTGGGGCCAGCTCAGGATCAATTCCCAGCTGGGAAGCAGGGACAGCATCAGAAACCAAGCCCCAAGGACCTGGGGAAACCCTCCAGGTGCTGTGGAAGGACACGATCCAGCAGAGGACACACCTTTGTTCCAGTGCATGGGGCTGGTTCACCCTGCAAGACTCAGGAACAAAATCCCACAAACACGTGTACGCAGGCAATTAAAAAATATTTAATCCAGAGTTTCAGGGGATTAAAAAAATAATTCATTTTAAAATAATTCTGATGTGTGTGGCCTGCTGAGTTCCCAAGCATCCAGTCTGGCCCGGGCCAACCTTCCCCTCCCTCTCTCCATCACCTTCCACTCTCCCAACCTTTTGTGCGTGGTCCTCCCATTCCTTGACACATTCCAGTGCATTCCAGGGAAAACAAGCACGAGCAGCTCATTACCAGGACACAAATACCAAACATGTGGCTCAGCAACATGCTTTCCCCAAGTGCCTGGTGGGCTTTTTTATCCCCCACTCGGTGCAGGCAGGAACTCCTGGGTGTGCTCCCACCCCTCACAGTGTGCCCCTCCGGCTTCCTGAGCGTGTCCCCTGCCAGGGTGGGACCAGTAGCACCTTTCCCACAAGCAGCAGGATTTTGGTTCAGCCTGCAGTGTGATGTTCATGTTCCCTGTCCCCTCCACCAGGGTGGACAGCACCACATTCCAGGGATGTGCTCCAGGGCAGCCTTGAACTGCCCGGCTTTGTATCCCCCTGTTCCGGCAAATCCCAGCCCGTCGTCCTGCAGCCAACACCCCCCTCTGAGGGGCTTGTCCCACGTGGATTTGTCCTGCCTGGCCCCCCAGGAGCCCCTAAATGCTGTCGTAGGGCACGGCCAGGCCGATGTTGTAGCTGTAGCCCGTGAGCTCGTCGTAGGACGAGCGGCAGATGGGCAGGACACTGTCCCCCGCCAGCTGCTCCCCTGAGAACTCGTAGGAGTAAATGATCCCTCGGTACCTGCACAGAACACAACCAGGACACACCCCTGAGCATTCAGTTTGTGCCAGGGAAAGGAACGACCACCATAAAGGATGGTCCCAGTTAAAGAGCTCGGTGCTCGGGGAGCTGATATAACCCCCCCTCCCTCCTGCACCAGCCTGTGCAGTGCAACACAGAACACCCCTCCTGCCTCCCTCCAGGGACCCAGCAAGCCCTGGGAATGAATCATTCCCTCCAGCACTGCAGAGACGTGACTGTCATCTGCTGAAACGTCTCCAGCCTGCTCAGGACGGGGGAAGAGGAGCCCACTGTCGTTTGATGGTTCAATCACACAGGGAGCAGCCTGGGATGCAAATACCAAAACCTGCTGTTTAAATACCAGTACTTTTCCTTCAGGAGGAGACATCATTGCTAATATTTAGAGCATGGAAAAGGCTGCATTCCCTCTCTGGCTTCAGTGGCCTTTATGTTCCCCTGCTGAGAGAGAAATGCATTTTTTTGTGCTGAACAAAATAAAGAGCCAATTCCTCCCTTGTTTTGAAAACATTATCCTTAAACTTTTTTTTTCCTTTCTTTCTTTTTTTTTTTTTTTTAGATGCTTTACCTCCTCTGTTCCTGCTCTGGATCATGACTCAGGGGCTTAGTGTGCTATTTAAAAATATGTAAGAGAGCAGATCTGTGAGAGCTGCCTTGAGAACTCACTTGCGGTGCACGGCGGGGTCGTCGTCCGTGCTGCTGCTGCCCCGAGGATTCCTCTCCTCAGGGATGTTTGCCGTGATGAGACTGTGAGAATTGAACCACACGTGGCGAACTGGATGCCTGGAAAACAACCCACAGCTCTGGGTGAGGTGCCACCCGCACTGGACTCCCAAAATCCGATCGCAGGAAAGGAATCGCTCTGGATTAAACAAGGAATCGTTTAGGTCGGGGCTCGTTCTATGGCCAGAGGTTGGGAACCTGCACCTCTGGCTCTTCTCCTCCAGCCTGGAGCAGGAACCTGCACCTCTGACTGCTCCTCCGGCCCGAAGCACATCCCACACGTTCTACCCCCATCTAGTGGGCTCTCACCAGAACACACGTGGAGGTCAGAAAACCTGCTCCAAACTCGGCAGCGCCCAGGCTGTGAGGGACGGGGGCTCTCTGCTCGTTTGCTGCTTTAAGGACTGCAGTACACTCCTGGGAAGAGCAGGGTGCTTCCCAAAATAAAGGCTAATACAGGACCCCCAGGCACTGAGCTGTGGCTCATTTAGAAATGCACTCTGTGGCACAGAATCATGGAATATTCTGGGCTGGAAGGATCCACAGGATCATCATTCCAGCTCCTGGCCCTGCACAGACACCCCAACAATCCCACCCTGTCCCTCAGAGCATTGTCCAAACCCTCCTGCAGCTCTGGCAGCCTTGGGGCTGTGCCCACTGCCCTGGGGAGCCTGTTCAGTGCCAACCACCCTCTGGGGGAAGAACCTTTCCCTGAGATCCAACCTGAGCCTGCCCTGACACAGCTCCAGCCATTCCCTGGGGGCTGTCCCTGCTCACAGAGAGCAGAGGTTGGAGCTGCCCCTCTGAGGAAGCTGCAGACCCCAGTGAGTCTCCCCTCAGTCTCCTCTTCTCCAGCTGGACAAGCCAAATGCCCTCAGCTGCTCCTCGTGTGGCCCCTCCAGACCCTTCCCCATCCTCATGCCCCTCCTTTGGATGCTCAGTGTGGTCTTCACTCCTTTCCTCTCGCTGGGGAATAAACCCACCCCAAACCACTGCACCAGCATTTTCTGTCCAAGCAGGAGTAATTTGTCCCCTCATCCCACGACCCCAACGTGTCTCCTGTCACCTCCCCTGGCTTCCACCCTTGTTTTCTGTTCCTGGGGCTGCAGCCATGGATAACACCACACACAGCCCTTATCTCAGAAGGCCTGCATGACTGAAGCAATCCCTTCTGATTCCTCTGTAGATCAAACACTATTTTAAATGTCTCATCTAATGGTTTCACTTTGAGGACATCCCCCAGCTCAGCCCTGCCCTGCCTGCCCTCCTCCTGCAGCAGCACTAATGAGCGTGCCAAGGAGACAATCAATGGAATATTGTCCTTAATGCATCAGCCACAGCACAACAGGCTTTATCATTCCCAGGGTCAACACCGAAGGCAATACCTGCTATTAATCAATGACAGCTCCAGCTTGAACTACTCTGCCTGTAAATACCTCATCTAGCTCCTCTTTGGGGAAGAAAAAAAATCAAATCAGGATTTATCTGCTCATTTTATGGGTGTCACTCCGAGTTACAAGGGGCTAAATCCTTGAGTCTTCACCCAAATGAAGCCAAGTCCCTGGGAATTGTGCCTGGATCAGGAAATCTGAATTTGGCTGTAGCAACTGTCAGCTCCAGGATAATGATCTCTGCTTGTACTCCCAGTACTGAACTACTTGTGCTTTCAGTACCAACTGGTATTTTAGTATTTAAATGAGTTTAAATACCAGCCTGGCTTTGATCATCACCGTTAAGGGAACGTGTGAACGTGACGAGCAGAAACACAGGGACTGGGGAGGGATCCACTGGATGGAGAGAGCCAGAACCAGCCACTGAAAACAGCCAGTGCAAGGTTCAATAAGCAGAGCGGTTGGGGATGGGGCAGGGAGAGGGCGGTGACTGAACTCCATGGAAAATCCAGGGGAAAATCTCCCTGCTCTCCAACACCGACCGAAGCGCTCGTTAACTAATGAGCAAAAGCCCACGGCAGCTAAAGGGCACACAGAGAAACACATAACTGCAGGTGGGCAGGCAATCTGTTCCCAAATCACAGGAACACTGAACAGAACTCTCCAAAACTCATCCCCTTGGTGCCTTTTGGACATCATCTCCCACCCACACTCCTCCCTCCCGCCGGCCGGACCCCCCGAACGCCGCGGGCCAGGGCCCCACTCGGGTTACCTGGCGTGCATCTCCCACAGCTTGGTGCCCATCCGCTGGTCCCACACGCACACCAGGCCCTCTTCTCCTCCACTGACCACCTTCCAGTCGTCCATCTGCACCGCAGACACTCCCAGCTGGTGGGCATAGAGGGAGCACACGGACTCGCCCTGGCGCAGGTCGAACACCCTGACCCTGAACCAAAGCCAGGGAGAGAAAACAGGGATAAAACCAGCTGTGAACACGCAGCCAGTGGGTTCTGGGGTCATGAAAATGTATCTGGGACAGCAGCAGCCCCGTGGCCACTGCAGGGCTGGAAAACCAGCTCGGTCCATACTTTTCACCACTGAGTTTTTCCTCGGACTTTTTGTTATCAGAGGGTTTTTCAGGCAGACTTCCCCCACCATACAGGATCTCCCTGACCTAAACAAGGCCTCTTTACAGGTCCTAAGACCCCAGCTCTGGGATCCCAGCACAAAGAAGGATGTGGAGCTGCTGGAGAGAGTCCAGAGGAGGCCACAGAGATGCTCCCAGGGCTGGAGCCCCTCTGCTCTGGAGCCAGGCTGGGACAGCTGGGGGGGTTCACCTGGAGAAGAGAAGGCTCCAGGGAGACCTGAGAGCCCCTGGCAGGGCCTAAAGGGGCTCCAGGAGAGCTGGAGAGGGACTGGGGACAAGGCATGGAGGGACAGGACACAGGGAATGGCTTCCCACTGCCAGAGGGCAGGGATAGATGGGATATTGGGAAGGAATCTTTCCCTGTGAGGGTGGGGAGGCCCTGGCCCAGGTTGCCCAGAGAAGCTGTGGCTGCCCCTGGATCTCTGGAAGTGTTCCAAACTCGGGATGAGGGGCAACGTTAGTACCAGGATCAAGGGAAAGGACCGTGATTCCAAAGATTTGAGAAGACATTAAATGTGTGGTTAATTAAAAGACAAGAAAAGGGAATTACACATTTACACCCTTGACTTAATCACTAATATTAAAACAAAGCCATCAACAGGCACCCAGCACCCAGCATCTCTTCTCTCTTCAAAAATGCAGCCACTGACTGTGGGCAGATTCCAGGTACATCTGGTTTTGAGGCATTATTGACCCCTCAGACAAAGCATTTGGAAGAGAAACATAAAGGAAGACTCAGCCAGAAAAGAACTACAGGAGAAGAACTGGGGATTTCAACCTACTGCAACAAGGCCACAAAACCAGTTCAAGTGAATGGTGGGAGGTTTTAAACCCAGCACATATCACAGAGGAGTGTATTTTCCTGATCCTTACACATCAGGATTAAGAGACAAAGCAAAGTACACCAGTGAATAAATAAATGAATGCAGCAAGTGAAAACAGAAGGAAAGGGGAAATACTGATCTCAGATTTGAAAGGAAGCCAGAGAAAGTTCCTCCCAGCTGATGGCCATCAGGAGTGAAAGCATCAGGTCCACATTAATTCCAGAAAAGGCCAAAACACACTTGTTCCAACACATTAACTGTGCTTTCTTCCATACCCCTGCTACGACCCTAATGGTGTTGTGCAAGCTTTTCCTTTCCCTGCCTCAAACGGGGATTGCAGCGTGTGATTTTACAAACAACACATTTCAGTGGCTGAAAGAAAAAGGCAACACAACAGTCCAGAACTCCAGCAGAGCAACATCCATCTGACATGCAGCAAAACACGCTGGAACGGGCCGAGGAACACGCTCCGTGTGGCTGCACGGCTGCCCTTGGGAACATCCCATCCTTCATTTGGGATGGAGATAAGGACTTGCTGCCTCCAGCTCCAGCAGAGAGGAGCTTTGGCTCCATTTTGGAGCTGTGCTTTGGGTGAGGATGGGGTGTTTTGGAAGGGCTGCTGTCCTGCCTGTGCTCTGCACGGAAATCAAAGCTGCTCCTGTTTGGAAGGCTCAGCTAGAAGCGAAGGCCTGACTGAGTCCTGCTTATTCCATTAGCCAGCGCCCAGGTTTCAGGCAGGTGTCCATCCTGGCACGCCCCTGGAAGAATCACAGGCACACTTGTGCTGCTCAGATGTGCTTTGAAGGAAAAAAAAAGAGAAGCGTTTTGCCAACCTGAAGCGATGCTGTCACGCAGACCTGGCACGGCCCCGCTCCTCCTGCCTCAACAGCTGGGCTCAGCGGGAGCACTCCGGGCTCATCCCAGCTCTGGGAGCGGTGGGGAAGGTGTTCTCATGACCAGGCTTTGACCCTCCTGTTAGACTCACTCAAAATGAAGCTCCCTTGCCTCCAGGAAAGCATAGAATACATGTTTTGATCCACGCTCTCGGCGACTGGGCTTGCCATGTGTTTGCTTTCCCAACGCTGTTCTCCATCCCAGCTTCCCACCACGGAAAAGCAGGATCAGCACACGCTCCCTGCTGTCACATCTCTTGCCAGACTGAAGCACAGCTCGGAAATCAAATAAATCAGGAGTGTTTTTGACGGGGAGACAGATTTTACAGGTCCTACCAAAACCATTTCCCAAGCGTTACTTCTCAAAATCATGGCTTTGAATAAAAGGACATCCTATTCCAGTGAAATTGCTGCATTTAATTCAAGCAGTAAGTGTTCCCACTGGCCACCAGCAGTTTGAACTCCCATGGCAAGGTCCCTCTTTAGTAGATTTGCTCCTTAACAGGGCTGTGGAGGTTCCAGTCTCATTCCACCTGTGGATGCCCAGCACCTTCACGTAGCAGCACGTGAGGAACTGACCTTGGAGGTACCCATGGTCCTGCCTCCTGGATGCCACACCTGTTTGCTGAACTGTTAATTCCTAACTTCTGGCTATTTTAGTGACAGCCAACCCCTCAAACTCAGTCAGTGCTTGAGCTGAAAACCCAAAAAGCTTTCTGAGGGGAAAGGGCACAGACTCCAAAGGGAGTAAATCCCAAACCCACTGAAGGCACATCAGCTTCAGCTACTCTCCTGTCACCGTGCAAGAGATCAAAATTGGAGGCAGTTTCACTGGGGTGCTTTGGAAAATCAATTATCTCCTTTTAGAGGGGGAAAAAAAAGCCTCCCAAGAACTCAAGTCCACTTGTCAAACTCCAGACATCTCCTTCACCCTGCGTGCCGAGCAAGTGTCAGGTTTGCTTGCACTGCCTATTCACTGAGGAAAGGAGGGGGTGGGGGGAAAAAGCTGTTTGACAAAATAATCATTTTTGCAAGCTGCTGCTCTGGCGGGACAGAGGTCTGGGATTTGGCAGAGGGAAGTGCCCGCCTCCCAATCTGATCCCACCACCACAGCACAGCACCACCTGCAGCCTGGTGCCCGGCACGGGGGAGAAAAGGAGGAGGGAAGGAAGCTGGAGCCATTAGGGACTGGCTCCCTGCCATCCCACATCTCCTTTGGAGCACTGGATCAGACCCCACCAACGGCTGGCCAGGAAAAAAAAAAGGAAATCTAAAAATTGGCCTCCGAGGGTCTTTTTAAGCACTTTAATCCTCTTGCGCTGCCCGTTCCCAGCGCGCCCGCTCCTGGCACCGGCGGCTGTGCCGGGAAAATCCTACTCCCCAAGCCAAGGAGTTAAAGAGAAAGCTGCTAATCAGCTAAATAGAAGCTGGAATCTGTTCATATGGAAGTCTCTTTTTTTTTCCACTGTCACCTGAGGGACATCGCAGTGTTCCGAAACACACTCTTGACATCGTTCGGCAGACGGGCCCCCCTCTCATCCCCCACGGTTCATCCCCAAGGTTGTTTTTTTAATATCAGAAAGTGAGCTTGTAAATGCCAAACTAATTTTGCGGGTGGTGGCGGGGAAGGGGGAAGATATTCCAAGTGGTCTCGCTGGGCTGTGCACCAACTGCGTCCACCAAATGGCTGGAAAAGCAGAGTCTTCCCAGGGAGCTTCCCGAAACAAAGCCCCGCCGACAGGCACATCCAACTATTACCTAATAGTTTGTTCCCTCAGCCCGTGGCTGCATTTGGAACCACGAAGAGGAGAAACCATTTCCAGCAGGTCCAGATGCAGGGCAGCAGGGTGGGAAGGCTGGTGGCACTCACCTCCTGTCCTTGTTGCCCGCAACGAGCATGTGGGGAGGGCTGTCGTGGAGGTTGACACACGTGAAGTCACCTATGGAGTTGCCCACCTTGGTCAGGCACTGGTTTGTTTCCAGGTTGTAAAGAAGGATCTGCCAGAAAGGGGACAAAACACAGGACACATTCATTCACAGAGCACGACAAAGAGGTTTTGCTGCAGCAAAGAGCAGAGTTGTTACCACCAGAGATGTTTTTGTTTGTTGCCTGATATGTCACACATGATCAGGACGCAGATTTAGCCCTGTTAAGAGGGGGATACAACACCCCAGGAACCAGGAACACACCTCTGGTATTCCTAGAGATTTTTGAAGCTTCGCTCTTGTTGCCCGGTCCTGCATCACAAAATGAGCCTCTCCTCTCTCAACTCCCCCCTTCAGATCTCTGCAGTTGCACAAATGGGAAATAAAAGGCCAGGCAGCATCAGTGTCTCTGCTCTGGCAAATGTTGAAATAATACCTGCAGACTGTGTAATATCAGTGTCTGTCAGGGGGGATACAACCTCAGGAATAAGGAAATCAGGTGTCCCTGTGGAATCCATCAGGAAGCAGGGATGCACCACCAGTGCCACCCAGCAGCAGGCAGGGGCAGCTCCCAGACAGTTTCTCCAGGTCTGTGAGGAAAACCAAACAGTTTCTTCACCAATTTTCACGTTGGAAAGTTAAGAGCAAAGAGCACCAGCAGCGAGAAGGTTCAGACAGATGGGCTGAGAGAGGCAGGTCCAGTCAAGTGCAGCAGAAATTGCAGAGCAGAACTGAGAGCTGTGGTGCAGATCACACACCCCAGGAGGAATATCACATCTGAAGTGGCAGCTCAGATGGCAAAGGCATAAAAAACAACCCCAATTTCAGGCAACATCCGAGATGATTCAACCAGAGCCCGGACGAGAGGGATGAGCTGTTCCCCCTCCTCAGTCAGCTCAATCATGTTTGCTGCCCTTCCTCTGGGGCCAGATGAGATTTATCTCTTTGGGCCTTTCAATTTAGGAGAAACAAGTATTTTTAGAAGCAGGAAAACGTCCTGGTCGAAGCCCAGCGGAGCTCAGCGCTGCACCTGGCCTTACATAACTTCATAAACATTATTAAATTTCACGGTGATGCTCCTTTCAATTAAAAGAAACCTGTGACCATGAGAGGAGTTAATGGCACTTAAAATATCAGGAGAAGCTCATGGCAACATCAGCAGGGCCACGGCAACATCACATCAATATCCTTTACTTCCAATTTGCTGGTTATAGCCAGTGCAGCTTTAATAAATATTACACAATCTCTAGGTATTATTTCAGCATTTGCCAGAGCAGAGACAGTGATGCTGCCTGGCCTTTTCCTTCCTACTTGTGCAATTGTAGAGATCTGAAAGGTTGAATTAAATGAAGAATGAAGAGAGGCTCATCTGGTGATGCAACAAAAGTGAAGCTTGAAAAATCTCCAGGACTTTTAAATACCCTCTCTCTCTCTCTCTTTCTCTCTCTCCAGAGGCAGAGAATTTACAGGTTCCCTCCACCTGCCACTTCTCCCAAGCAAAGAGCAGGCAGGGTTTAATTCAGACATGTTATTGGGATCAACACATTCACATCCCACTTCCTGAGGTGCTTATAAGATTTATAATCTCCCAACTAGTCCTTTGTGAACTTATCTGCCTCCAAATACCAGTCTTTAACATGTTATTTTTCATCCTTAAGACCCAAAAAATCAAAGCCATTTTTACCCAAAAGCTCTGTAAAACCAGGGAGGTTCTATACTTGCAGTGAGGCTTAGGGCATAAAAGTTGCTTAAAAAATTAATTTAAACTTGCCCACCAAGGAGAAAATTGCCACAAACTGCATGGAGATGTTAATCTTTGAGGTGCAGACCAATTTTACAGGCTGTTCTCACTCACAGCCCAGCTCCCAGCAGCTCACTAACCAAACCCAGAGATAATGACGTTCTGGCAAAGGTACCTCGAAGAGTTTTCACCGCAAAGGAAATTAATATCTGGGCCTGGCAACCAAATTTCTCCTTGGAAAGTTCTGAACAAAAGACAAGAGTCAATAAAGTGCTGAATTCAACCTAAGAACAATAAGTGACGGGGTCAGGAGCAAAGTATTCCAGCTCCCAGTTGAGCCTCTTCCCAGCTGGATGGAAAAACTCTGGAGAGGAGAGGGCCAAGAGCTGCTTTCCCAAAAGTCCCCCGGGGCTAATGCTGACAGGGAACATCCATAAACTATTAATTTACCTAAATGGCCGTGGCTCCCATCTACCCCATAAACATCTGATACATCCTTGAAGATTCAGCTCTGGCCATGGAAGACCATAATGGAAAATTGCTTCCATGTGGCATTTAAAGATCCCCCCTCTGTCCATCGGAGCGAATGTTACACGTTCCCCCTTTGGCAGCCTCACCTCCAGCCCTGGGGCAAAACTCACAGGTACCACCAGCTGAGAAAATCACTTCTTTCTCCTCACATAACCTGTAGATGGCTACTAATTTAAAGCACCTGCAGCTAAGAATCTGTAAAAAAATATAAAGCTTCACATGCACAAAAATGGAAGGAAAGCTTCTGCCTCGTCATCTCCTACCCCCTCAAATTCCTTCTCTTTTCATGCCAGGCTCTATCCTTTTAAAGACTGTTTATTTTAACAATCCATAACAGCACTGATTGCTAAAATAAAATTTCTTTCAAACTTTATCACGCACACGTGTCTTTCCAGCCAATTAGCCCCATCACTGCAAGATTCTCTTTGTGATCTTCAGGATTTGTCTATCTCTAAATTCAACTTGTCCTCAGCGATTTCATGCTCTGCAAATGAATTCCAACATGTTTTCGTGGCAAACTGATAAGGAAAGAAGCAAAAAGCACTCAAGAGTGCTTTTGGTTTTTTTCTTTTTTTTAAGTCTGAATAATGATTTCTTGAAGACAAGGGGTTTAAAAGCACACTGAGGACAATTTTGAAGTTCTGATGAGCTCTCCTATAATATCCCAAGGCAAGAAGGATTTTCTTTACAAAGGCCAAGGAGAAAGAATGGAAATACCTGGTCAATAGGGACTTGAAATAAGGGCCTGTGTGTTAAAGGGCAGATAAAGCCTAAGATCTTTGGGAGGTTTATAATCCTATAATGCACACTGCAAGGGGATTACCCTTTTAAAGGTATTTATAATCCCATAATGGACACCCAGGACCAGTGACCTAATAGGTACCAAGCGAGGGGAAGCGAACCCAGAGCGCTTGGGTGTGAAATGAAGTGTCCTGGGATGACACACTGACGAGATCCCTGCCCCCAGTGGGACCTGGGGGGGCCACAGGGGGGAGGAGGAGCGTTAAATACCCCGGGCAGATGTTATGGGGAGCCAAGGCAGGGGCTAAGAAGTGTTCCCCATTAACACTGCCCAAATGAACAGTGCCAGCCCCTTGGCCAGGAGCCAAGCAGCCTCCCAGAATGCTCAATAATTCAGGGAGCCAGGAACAGCCAGAGTACCTTCACCATTCTGTTTAGTTAAAGACCACAGAGATTAGAAAACACATTATCCACCTCGCAGGCGATTCTTCCCATGTTACAAGTCCCTTAACGACCTTTACCATCCCTCCCTCTCCCTCTCTCTCTTTTAATAAGGCTGAGCAAATGGGACTTCATTTTCTCCCACTGCCACAGACTAGTGCTATTAATTATTCATGCTCATACTCTCCCCTTTTGTTAAGGCAGTGCATTAGACTAATTTCCCTCTTCGCTGGGTGACTTGGGCGAGGCTCAACCTGTGGCTGCTCTCGGACAGGCGCTCCAAGAAGCTGGAAAATTCACGAGCCAAGGGAAGGGGAGAAAGGAGAAGTTGCTGCAGAGCGGTGGGTAGGGGGAACTCACTTTTAAATGCTGTCCAAGAACTCCTGAAAGGGAGGAAAATTAATTCCCGAAGAATTAAAGCCTCTGCAGCCAGACCGGCTGAGCTGGGAGCTTTGTTACTCCGTGCAGCTAAGTGAGGTCAAGCGTGGTCGATGTGCTCTGGGCTGAGATACTTCCAAGAAAAACCAAGGAACTGAAGGAAACGCTGCTGATGGAACTCTTCCATGCCTGTCCAAGGCCCCAGCAGGTGTTTGGGGATCCTGGGTTGCTGGAGATGTCTTTTTTGGATGGAACAGCGAAACAACAAATCCTCCAGCGCTCGTTATCAAAGAGCCCGTGGTGCTTTCCACAGGAGCAGGGGTGTCCAACCCACTGTCCTGGCCAGGAGCCAGCACCCCACTGCTCTGGGGAGGAGCTGCTTCCCCTCTGCAATCCCAGGCCTGCCTCCTCTGCAAAGTGAGGGCACTGCATGGCCAGGGAAGAGCGAGGTCTCTGTGCTGTATTTTCAGTTCTAATTTAGCTCAGGTATCGAAGGCAGGATGATAAATATCAGCCAAAAGCGCGATTGTAAAACCACACTCAAAACCTACATCCTTTTCCTCACTGAACAACACACAGGATACATTAAAGAGCCACTTTTTCAGGAAGAATCGTTTAGGACGGAGCTTTCTGTCATTTTAGAGATGGAGGATCAAAAGAAAACAAACCCAGGAACAAGCAGCAAGCCTGGGTACAGAATTTACATTTATTTTCATTTTATTCTCCCCTCTTGCTTCTGTCCATCCCTCTGCCAACTGGAAAAAAGAAACGTTGCCTGAATACACACAAATAGTGCCAGCAAAAGAGAGGGTTGTGAGATTTCAAGCCCCTCCCAAATAAAAAGGGATCCTGTTTTTTTTCCTCAGATCAAACCCATCCCATTCAGAGGGTATCCCCAAAAGCAGGAAGGTTGCTCCAAATGCATTTGTGGCAGAACTCATCAAATTAAATACAACACATGGCACACTCTGCTGCAAGTTGGGATGTTTATCTCTAAAGGGAGGTGGAAAAAGAGTATTTTTAAAGTTTACAAGGCTCAGGGGCACAGTCTCCCAGGGCAAATGTATTGGATTGCCCACTGTAAATACGGCAGATAACACTGCAACAACAACAGAACCAAATTCACTGTTAACAAATGCAGGGTCAGCACGTTGAGACTCGCACCCAGAGATAAAGTGTTCTGGCCTCCATAAATTCAAGAGATGAGCTAAGATTTAAAAGGGAGCAGCTGAGGGAGACAGACAGACAATCAGAGAGAAAGAAAAAGAGTAAATCAAACACAAAACAGCCAGTTTGGAAAAAAAAATATTAAAAAATAAATAAATAAAAAGCAGTTAATATCCATGAATAATGGATGTTTGATTTAAAAGCAGTTTACTCCAATATGATGTAATTTTTGACAATCAGCCAGAGAGACTATTTTGCAGGTCCTTGCCAGATATAAGTCATTGTGTAAAGCTGGTAACACAAGGGCTCCTCTGAGCATGTGGAAAATTGACTTTCATGCCATCCTGGAGGTGACTTTGTGCTGGCAAACGTGGGCTGAGCTGCACCAAGAGCCCAGAGCCACGCTCAGAGCCCCCCCAAATCCAGCGGGAGCAGCAGCTCCCCGCTCCTCCCCACCCCTCCACCTGCTGCAAAGTCACCCACCGAGCTGCACACAAGTGGAGTGTGTCGGGTGGGTTGTTTTGTTTTGTTCCCCTTTGAAGTTTTTGCCTCTGCCCCGAGTTCCAAAGTGAGGCTCCAAGCTGGTGGGAAGAAGGAGAGCCAAGCCTTGCGCCGGCGCTGCCAGCGCACCTGCAGCCCTCGCCGTTCCAGCGCCGGACACTGCCAGCCCCCGGGAGCTGCCAGCCTGGATGGGCCTGGGATGGGCACAGATGTCTGCTCCGACCTGCACTGGGGGCTCCAGGCTCACTGCACTTGTGGCTGCAGCCTCCAGTGCCCACTGAAGGGATGGTGTGTTTACACACCCAGCCACCCGCTCACTAGGAAAACCTGCCCAAGCCCAGAATGAGTTTGCCCCAACACAGGGGAAAGGAAAAGCAAGGGGGTTGCTAAAAAGCAAGGGAGTTATTGAAAAGCAAGGAAGTTATTGAAAAGCAAGGGAGTTATTGAAAATAAAGGGAATTATTAAAAGCTGCATGACTCTCCGAGTTTTGTATCACCCCGAACACCCCTGGCACATCCTCACAGCTGTATTTTCCAAACCTCAAGACACCCACCTAAGCCGCCCTGTGAGGCACTCACAGTTCCCCTAAACAGGGGCCAAAAGCAGGGTGTCATCACTGGCAGCCAGTGCAAAAGGCGTTGATTTATTTATTTTAACTTGCAGAGTTGTTTCTGGTCATTTCCAGGGGTTAATCAACGCATCCTGTAAAGCTTTAAGCAAGGGAAAGTTCTGGTCTCTCTGCTGGACTCTGTTCCTTGTAGTGCCTGACAGGGTTCAGGTCCTCAGACAGGTCTGTTCCTCTGACAGGACACCAAAGAGTTTACGAAGAAAAAGGTATTTAAAACACCTTTCAGCACCTTCAGAGATCTGCTAACACTCTCAGCTCCTCAAAGAGAAACAGTCGGGCAAGTCCCATATGCTCAGATTCAGTCCCCAGCCCTCCTACTACGAAAACAAGAGTTCCTAAAGATTAATTTATTGAAATTTGGGCTATTCACAAGGGTTAACAGAAGTGGGGGGGAAAAAAAACCAAACAACCACCAAACACACTTTTAAAAGAAGAAAAATCAAGATAAAAAGCTTCTTTGGTAGGAAAAACACCCAAATCCTCCACGTTTATTAACTTTTTTTTTCTTTTAGTTTTGAATGAAGAACTAAGCCAAGTACTGCTTGTACCAAGAACTGCTGAACGTGTTCAAAAACTTGAACTGAATTTTAATTTCAGGAAGAAAATAGGGTTTGAGGGTTTTTTCCTTCCCCACCCCAAGAGAATAAAAATTTCAAGAAATGAATTGCAAGAAATAATCAACCTATAAATGTCAAGAAATAATTCATGGAGCTCACCTGAACTGCAGCAGGGAGACCAGAGTCACCTGAGAGCAGATGGGAGGTTATAAATACCCCAACTATGAGAAAAGCTTTGCTCAGACCCTACAATCAGATTGCATCAGAAATCTGATGAAGTCAATCCTGACATTTATCATGGTCCATGTTTAAGAGGTTTATATTGTAATGTATTTTATATATTTATTATTATTATTATTATCCATGTACAAGCCTAGATGGGAACACAGATCTCAGTGTTCCCAGAATTTGGAATTCAAGGGAAATAGTGCATTCCACGCTGAAATATTATTGAATTATTGAAATATGATTGAAGAAATTCACAGCTTAACATTAAAAAAAACCAGAGCCCCACGAGCAATAACCAGACAAACTTCCAAGAAACAACAACATATTTGGGTTGTCTGATGCTTGAACTCCTCAGAGCTGAAGCATTTCTGTTCTCCCCCCATTCCTGCAAGGGTGTCTGTCGTCTGACAGTAGGCGAGTCTAGGCCGTGGATTTGATGTTTTTCTCCTCTCCAACATAAAAGATCCCACAAGTTTTATGCCTCAGATCTCTCCTCTGCTGTCAGTTTTGGTTAAAATTAGAAAATGATTAGAAAAAAAAAAAAAAAAGAGAGAGAGAGAGCAAGGATGATGTCTTGCCCAACTATTTTTTCATCAGCAAACTATTTTCACCCGAAAGCAGGTTACGAGGCGGGAGCTTCCGCTGAGGGGGAACAACAACCCCAAGGCAAAAAACAAAGCAAACCCCAACCGGGGAGGAAACCCAGCCAGCGGCAAAGGGGGCTGGAATCCTCCACCCTCAGGCTTCCAAGATGGAAAGCTCTCCCGAAGACAGATTGTCAGCTCGTGACCAGCGTAATCAGCCAACGCGAAGTCCCTTCACGTCTCCGTGGGGCCAACAATTATCATAAGAGACGCCGGTAATTAATTTCCGGCGTGATGTCAGCTGGAGCAGCAGTGCCAGGCAAGTGTCCTTGTCACACACATCCCAGCCCATCGTCCTGATCAGGATGCAGGGCTCGGCACAAGCCACCCTGGAGGGGTTCGGGACTACGTTAGGAAGGATGTCCAGCCCTGCAGAGCGGGGCTCGGGGCCCTCAGGGGGTTCCTCTGCTCCTTCATGGGGCACAGAGGGGGTGGCAGAGGGAATGCCCCTGAAGGAGGCAGTTTTGCCTCCTGACCTCCCAGCTCTGCAGGGAAAGGAACTGGATTAGGACAGCGAAGGAATTAATAAAGACAGCATGGCCTCATCTCCCAGCCCTACGGGGGTTTATTTGGGGTGGCCTCCCCGGGGAACGTGGGTTTTAAGGGGAATGAGATGCAGGTGGACACGTCTATGCCTCACACAGAGGAAGTGCTAAGGAAAGCTCTGCTGTTCTGGTTACTTGCCAGGGAAGTGCTGTGTGTTTACACCACAGACCACAGCTCCTTTCATCTGGGTGTGCTCACCTCCTGCTCCTTCTCCACCTCCCCTCACTGCTGACAGCCCACCACAGGACACACAAATGGAATGAAATCTGGGAGTGGAAACTCTTCTCAAGGCATCTGGAAACAGGTCTGTCCACAGCCTGGTCCCTGCCCTGGAGTGGGGCTGTGTCCAGGAGCTGCTTCCTGGGATCTCAGGGATTCCAAGATGCCCCAGAAGCTGTGGCTGCCCCTGGATCCTTGGAAGTGCCCAAGGCCAGGTTGGACAGGGCTTGGAGCAACCTGGGCTAGTGGAAGTTGTCCCTGCCCATGGCAGGGGGTGGAACTGGATGGTCTTTAGCATCCCTTCCAACCCAACCATTCCATGGGTTTATGATTTATGGTACTTCTTTGGGTCTGCAATCCCACAGGAACCCCTCCTGCAGTCAGAGGAGCTTTGGAAGAGCTGCCTGAGGAGCATCCCTCAGCCACGAGGCTGCGGCAGGGCTACAAAACCAGCGGGGTGTTGACCTCCCCTGCCAAGATGTGCTGACAGAAGCAGACAGACTGTGCCACAGGGAGCTTCCAACCCCTCACTGTAATTAATTCCCTTAATCCAACAGTCACACCACCCTCACCAAACTGGAAGTGACGTGGTTCAAATACTCCAGAGCACAAGCTAAAGATCCCCCTCCCCAGATCACACATCTGCTCGTATGAGGTTCGACACGTTGCTCAGGCTGCCCTCCCCAAAAGGGGTGTTTTGGGCTTTTGGGGTGTTTTTTGGGGGGTTTTGAGCCAAGTTCCCCCTGATGCAGCATAAACCAGGTGAGCTGGGCCTTGCTGAGGAGCAGAGATTGAAAAGGGCTAACAGTGAACCCAGCTGGCTGAATGATAATCCCTCACTTCAGCCCAGGAGAAGAACACACAGAAACATCAAATTATTGCATAAAAGAATGTCTTCCCTCTGCTGCCAAACGCTGAAGAGCAGGGAAGGAAGTGCTCAAGCAGTATGAACTCTTTTTTTTCCTTTTTTAATGACGAAGGTATAAAAATCTTACCCAAAACATAATTAAATACCTGGTTGGGCTCATTCAACAACCAGCCAAAGGTTTTGATCCCAAAGGCAGCTTCCTGGGCAGACACATCCAGACAGGTGACAGGCTGGCCATAGACAGAGTGGAGGATTTTGCCAGGCTCTTCTGCTTTCAGGAGATACACAATGTCCTCTGCAGCTGCCACTGCCACCGGGCTCCCTGTAACATCTGGAACCAGATCAAGGAAGTTGACCTGAAAAGAGCAGACTTTTTATTTTTAATACATCACAAAGTCTCCTACATCATTGCAGGCTGAACTGAGCAAACTAGCCACGTGTGGTTATGGGTTATGTCTCGTGTCATCCCAATTATGGATTAATTTCAGACAAAGACCAAGAACTGACTTTACTTCTGAATTTCTGCAAGTTTAGCTCCTATGATGTAATTCAGTTCACAGTCTTTAGAATGAATCCATTAAAAAGAAAAACCTCTTAATCAGAACACATTACAATAAAACATCCCAAAATGTCACATCAGAGAAAGGAGCAAAACTTAACACACTCATCAGCTGAAGGACAGAGAAGCCATGGGTTAAAGCACACAAAGGAAATATCGTGGCTGGAACGTGAATAAGGTGCTCCAGAAGAGGAAACAAATTGATACAACTCCCATGGAACAGCTGATGCTTACCCTGCAATCATGCAGGGTTACCCCAGATCAACAGAGACATCACATCCCTCTAGGACAGCCCAAATGCCAGCTCCCAAATCTTCTGTCACGAAGACCACGAGGATGCTGCTCTTCCCATGTCAGTAAACAACGAAGATCCAGCTGAAAAGTCTCACCATGGGAAGGGGCTGAACTCCTTAAGAGCTGGTTCCTAACCCAGCCTTGGAAGACAGTGTGGAATCTCTGTGTCCCATGGGACAAACTGACCTGTCACAGCGAGCAAGATCCAAAACATGGATCCAACTACTAGAGGTGGTTTTACTGGGAAACCTCTTAAATCAACAAAATCCCCAAATATTTTAAGCATTGCAAGACTGACTTAGCTTTGGAAGAGGGGATTCATCAGGAGGGGTTTAAATCCCTTCCCACCCATTAGTTGTGCACTCGGCTTCCTCAATTATTCCTAGGCACTTCCTTTCCCTACCAAAGAAAAGTTGATACCCTGAGACATAATAAAACTTCAGAGAACGGGACAGCTTTTGATTTTTAATTAAAACAGTCTCAAAAACTTCAGTGACAGAAGGTGCAACCTGAAGGGTTCCAGCTTCACAAGTGATACTATTAGCTCTCCTGCAATATCCTGCCTCAGAATTAATCAGACAGTGCTGATCTGGAATGAGACCTGGAGCTTCAGCTCCAACTCTACGCGAGAAAACTGATTTACAAAATGAGCCAACCTAATGTTGACAGGAAAAAAAAAAAAATAATTAAAACCAGCCAACCTCCTGCACCATATGGACCTGGGTTCATTTTCACTTGTAGCCTAAGCCAGCATTTCACCCTTGCTCTTCAGTGCTGAAAGGCTCATCCATTAACCCGCTCCAGAGCCAGAACCCCCAGCTGATAAGGCTGTTAGCTAGTTCAGTAAGACTTCTACAAGAAGCTGCACCAAAAAAACAATCCCTGGGTCAGGAAGCTGAGCAGCCTGGAGACTCACCAGCTTCTGGATCTCAAACGTTGCTGTGGTGTGCCAGAATCCTCTGTCATCGGGCCTTTCCACCTTGACCTCGAAGCCCGACGCCGTGGCCACGGCTGCGCCCTCCGGCCCCAGGGCCAGCGCCTGGATCTTCTGGTTGTGCTGGTAGTGATGGATTGGCTCCCGCCCCAGCAGCAGGTTCCAGACACTCACGGTCCCTGGGCACCAAAAGAGAGCCATGGGGTGTCACCTGAGAAGGGAACGGAGCTTTCCAAGAGCGTTCAAAGGTGCAAGTTCCAATCGGTGGCGTGGGGAAAAAAGCGAACGTACGGAGAGGAGAGTGCAGGGCAGGAGAGCAGGACCTGGGGATGCTGGGCCTCCTCTGAGCCACTGAACAGGTGCAGAGGAAACTGGATGTGCTCTGGCCTTAAGATGAAGGTTTGGAGTAGTTTTCTTAGGAATAAATCCTTCCCTGGGAGGGTGGGGAGGCCCTGGCCCAGGTTGCCCAGAGGAGCTGTGGCTGCCCCTGGATCCCTGGAAGCGTCCAAGGCCAGGTTGGAGAGGGCTTGGAGCAACCTGGGCTAATGGAAGGTGTCCCTGGCCATGGCAGGGGGTGGGATGAGATGAGCTTATTTAAGGTCCATTCCCACCCAAACCATCCCAAGATTCTCTGATTGCAGGCTCTGCTGCTCTCTGTGATTCCTAATTTTTGACTTCCCAATAACAGGATCTACCTTGAGGAAGACTCTTCATTTCCCTCACGTTTCCATGTTTGGAGAAGATCAGAATAAACAGACACTCAAACTTTTGTTCTGCTATAAGCACACCCTCCAGTACCACAAAAACTACCGAGGACAAACCCAGGCTCAAATTTAAGTCCCTTTGCTTTGCACCCAGGGAAGTTTCACAGTGAGGAATCCGAAGCTCTGCACACACAGGTCAGTGATTTTAACACTAACAGTTTACAACCAGCAGCAAAACTCCTCATCCTGATGCTGTGGGAAAACAGAAAATGCAGAAGAATTTGTGGCACGTGGTGTGATTGTGGGGGCTGTCCTGTGCAGGGCCAGGGGTTGGACTCGATGGTCCTCTGGGGTCCCTTCCAAATCAGGAGGCTCTGTGATCCTATGATTCAGAAAGAACACAAATCCCAAAGGACACAGGAGTGAAGTCAAAATACAACATATTTGTGACTGCACTTTTCCCAGCAGGGATCCCCCATATTCTATTTAAAATCCTGCTGCATTAAAGCCACAATCTGAGTAAGAGCAACCCGAGGCAGTCGGGAGCGGACGAGGGAACAGAAGGGCTGGGTGGAACTGGAGCCTTCTGGGCCACCTTTGCACTGAATTAAGGGAGAAACAATCTCGAGGCAGGGCTAGAGAAGCCTTCCCTGGACTCAGGCATTAATGATGAAATGATTAATGGCAGCTCTTCCTTCAAAGGAGACATAAAAGGCCTGACAGGCAGCTGGGGATGGGCACCGATGCCAGTGTGCAAACACTCCCCCCCAGTCCCAGAGGAGGTGAAGCAAGAGTGTGGTAATGAAACTGCACATAGTGAAATGGTATCTAAATGAGTTTAAATTGATTTATGCCCGCTTTTGTAAAGATTATTTGGTATCTGGAAAGTGCTACCGATGTGAAATAATGCAGATAATCCTTAAGATCCCTGTCTAATGGCACTCCCCCTGAATATTTATGTTCCTCACCATGGGAATGAGCACCATAATGGGGACCATTTTTGTTTTATTAGGGATGAATATTTAAATTAATCTGCTATTTGCCTAAACAATTAGCTGCCTCTGTTTGTTTACACAAAGCCAAAACTGCAATTAGGCTTCCATCAAAAAGATAAGTCCCGACTAAAACTGTCCCGATGGAGCCGTCAGGGCTGGGAGCAGAACTTCCCAAAATTACTTCTTAGCATAATGGTAATTATGTTAATTGCTTGAAAGGTAAATAACTGCTGAACTGGGTTGGAAAACCAGACTGGGAGGTTGTATTGCTCCCACTTAGCTTAAAACCAGTTAACAAACCCAAATGGGCAGCACAGGCTCCCTCCCCTCTGCAGCAGCTCTGAGGCACCTCCGGGCCTTCCCTAAAACAAAGGCTCATCTCCAGGACAGAAAATGGGGAGAAAACAGGTCAGAAACAGGGAGATCAACCCCCATCAGCGATAAAACCATGTGGGGATCTCGGATCACAGGGTCAGAGCTGGAATTTTTGGGCAGCCCACGGGTATCCCTGCCAAGCTCCTCCAGGAGGGAGGATTTTCAGTTTGGATTTGGTAGAATATTTATCCCAGTTAAAAGACCACCTTTGTGAGGGGGAAAAAGATGCTGATTTGCTTTCAGTGAAGCCTTTTGTTTACACACTTCTGTGATGAGCATTTCACTGGGTTTAGTGGTGTATTAATGGATGGGAGTTCTGGAAAATACAAAAATAAAAAAAAAAATTGAAGTCAAAGAACCCTCTTCTGACCACAGGAGCAAACTGAGAAACTCAGAATGCAGAGTTCTGCTCTCTAAATTTGGGCTACAAGTCACTGAAGTCATTGTTACTATTATTATTATTATTATTACTGCATCTCAAACACCACAAAAAGAGACAACAGTGGAAATGGCTCCTGCAATAATAAAATGGTTACAAGACGGGTATTTTCGGTTGTAACCAGATGTTCAACAGCAAAATCTGCCCAAAATAGCACAAAATGTTATCAGGCAAACACAGCGTGTGCAAAATCTGATGCACAATATGGTGAAAACACCCCTGGTCATATCAAAAAAACAAATGACTTGTAAGGTCACAAATTCACACGTAATGAAGGAGCACAAAGCAAGGAGTAAAAAGGGAAGTTCGTGGAATATCCCGAGTTGGGAGGGACCAACGAGGATCATCGAGTCCAACTCCTGCATGAGAGCAAGAAAACCTTATCCAGCTTTACACAGAGAAAGCAACACTCCACGGGATTTATCAAGAGCTAAAGCCACAGGTGCCACTCAGAATATTCTGCATTTCACTGCAGAAACAGCCAAAGGTATTTATGAGCACACAGGGCTCTGCACCAGTCCATCATGGGTATGTGAGAGCAAGGAAAAAGACCTCCACGAGACAGTTCAAGTTATTAGTGTGGCAACACAAAAGAAATCAGGGCTAAGATTTACCAGTCAGATGAGATCACTGCTCTCCACAGTCCTGCCTCCAGCACTTCATTTCCCAGGCAATTTCTCTGCTGGGGTGAAGTTCAGGTTGCAAACGTTCACTACCCCTTTTATCTCTGTAACACTGGAACCTCAGAAGGGTCAGGAAATCACTCAGAATGACAAGCAGGGCTTTCACAGCTCCCTAAAATCTGCACCACGACTGTGACGGTCCCAGCTGAACTCCAACAATAATTCCCCACGATGGTTCAGGCTTTCCAGCTCGCTTAGCTTTGCTCTTGGCTGAAGGAAACAAGAGCAAGGCACTGCAATCACTGACCCTCGACACGGCAGTCACTGCACCAGCCTCGCTGTTTACCCCCTGTCCCAGATCTGACAGAGAATTCAACTTCCAATCCAACATATTGGTGAATTGATGAAAGGTCCATTTACTGCAATTCACTCCAGATTGGAAAGTATTTGGATCAAACATTGACCATGAGCCTGTTGAGCCTCACACAGTGCTCTGCTGATCCTGACTGACCTCCAAATTTAGGAGGCATCAGCCTCTTGCTGTATCAAAGATGGGTGGCTGGAGGCTCTTCTCTCTCCACGAGTCTCCTCTTTGCAGCTGGGAGCACAAAAGACATCCTACAAAAGCTGCTTTTTACATCTATTTTCACAGATTGAAGGCAAACACACTTACCACAAAATCAACAATAAAAAAAAAATAATAAAAAAGTATTTCTTTTCCTAGAAAATCCTCTAATCCTCCATCAGGGAGGAGAGGCAGCACAAACACGGAGGCAAACAGAGGGAAATCTCATTTGTAAATATTCCAGTGGCTGTGTTTGGCAGTGCAGCACAGGCCCCCTCAGAGCTCCTCCTGAGCCTGGCACAGCAGAAGAGAGGTGCCCACCCCTGCTACCTGCTCAGGGTATTTTAGGACTCGGTGACTCCTTACAGGGGATTTTTTTTCCTTCAAACTGAGAACATGGATTTACCTCCTCATATTTTTCAGGCACATCATAAGCCTATGAAGTTACAAACAGTAGAAGAAATCCAATGTGTGGAAATGAGCACCAGCCTGAAGTACCAAAACTACTTACTGTGAATTTTGAGTCTCTCCCCAAACCATTTCTAGTCAGAGGATTCCCTTTACCCTCAGTAGATGTTTGGAGTTCCTTAACTAACATTTTACATTTTATTTTGACTGCCAGCAGGTGCTTAGTGAGAGATTAGACCCCAGTGGTAAGTCCTGCCTTCACACCACCATTACCACACCAGTTTGCTCCAAATGTTGCCAGGTTTTATCTCCACCACTCTCCTCACAGGGATTTCCACCTCAGAGTCCCTCAGAGAAGGCACAGGCAAGACAGAGAGTATTTCATTCCCAACTTGGGGATGCAAGAGGCAGAATTCCCTGACTGTGGTGGGAAATCACACGCCACCTACCCAAACCAAATGTTTGCACCCACAGCCACCTGTATCCAATGGGAATAAATATCCCCCCACCTGCTCCTGCAGTGTTCTTCCCTTTTTCCTTCATTTCAACCAGTCTTTCCCTGCTCCTGCTCTCCTGGAGCACGTCCTGGCACCAAACCCACCACCCCATTTCTTGCAAAGAGGGCGCAGAAGGGACAACACCCCCAGGCTGCTTTCAGGGCACCAGAGCGGACAAGACAGCAGATTTCCAGTCCCAAAAAAGGAGAGCTGCCAAAATTCCCCTCCTGGAGCCTGCCAGCCAGCAAGAGCACCACTGATGGATCAGCAGCCACCCTCCTCTGCTCCACGGAGCCACCCTGCAGCTTGGGAGGCACCACCAACTCCTCCCAGCGGGTCTCCAAGCACTCCACGAAGGGCAGCAAGTGCAGCACCCCCTTGCTGTGCCCACATGAGGATGGGCACGGCATTTAAAGGGAGGAATCAAAGGAAGGATGTTCTCTTGCTGCAGCACATTGTTCTCCAGTCAAACTCCGAAGCTCCAGAGCGCAGGGGGGAGAGCGGTGGCTGAAGTAGACCGCTGTTTCCCAAAAGCTGTGGCTCCCAGCCAAAGCCAGGCAAGCATGGAGCAGATGGAGTCCTGGCAAGGCCTCTCCTGTCCCTGCATTAGCAGCATCTGCTCATTACCCAGAACCCTCGCCTGCTTTATCTAATGCTCCAGGAAAAGCATTTTGATTTGATTCATTTCAGTTCGGTAACGTGCAACACAATTAGTGGTAAAATCAAACTGGAGGGCTGCCAGTGCTGACAATAGGAAACAAGGCAGAAGAAATATGAGGCCAGTGGGTTGGAATTCAAAAATCACAACTGTGGATCGAGCTGCCAAGTCCCGTTGCCCCAGGTGTACATCCAGTGCCCCCGCTGAGCGCTGGCACGGGCACGGGGAACTTCATTTGCTGCCCATCCATTTCCCTCTCCTTGCAGCCTTGTTCCTCACAGGTTGGCACCGCCACAGACGCTCAGGAGCCACAATCCCGCTTCTCCTTAGCGGAGTTACAACTCCCTTCGGATGCGGGATCCCAGCAAGGCACGTCCTTCCCCCTGCTCCGCCCGCCGTGCCTCGGGAAGCGTTGGCTGCCGGGCAGGCACGGGGTGAGCAGGATCTGCCTGAGCTCTTCCCTGTGATCGGGTGCCAAGGACATCTCTGCGTGAGCTCTGCTGAACTGGGAGAAACTGATGTTATCGGGACGGGTCTGGGAGCCAGGCATTCGACAGGGAAGTCTAGACTGTGCCTGACAGCACCACCTCCAACACCACCAGATGGTTCCTCTGCGTTAGTCAAACTTACAAACAAAGAGGAAAAAAAGGGAGCTGGAAAAGTACAACAAAGAACAATCAAACGCATTATCTTCAAAGTCGTCCTCGCCCTCCCCGAATTCAAAATAACTCCCTCCACCAAATTGTAAATATGTGCTTCCAGCTCACAGTTAGTAAACATTTCTAAAAATGAGGCTTTAGAATTCCCTATTCCCATAGAAACTAATCTATTCTGACCGGGCTCCTCGAATCAGAGTCACTGCCACATCACAGAGCCTATTAAAATTTCTACCCAGAAGAAGAAAAGACGCCGAGCTTTATGCAAACTAGTTCAGTCACAGCACTGACAACGAGGAGCATGACAGGCAAAAAAACCCAGACAAATTATTACATTAGTCAGTGGGAAACTAGAAAACAAACAAAAGACCCTCTGCTAGTCGTCGTTTGGCACGCTGGACAGAAAGCCAACATTTGAAACTATCGCTGTGTTATAATTCCTGAGACTTGAGTAAATACACTTAATGAGCAACACCAGATTTGCTGCTGTCAGAGAGTGTTGAAAAATCAGCAATTTTTAGCCACAGAAAACCATTCTAACATGAGCCAATCTAGAAATACAGCTGAGGACGGTCGATGATCTTAAAACACAGAAAGCGTTTAATTTACCTTTCAAATAAAATTCGGTCTGCGTTATCCGTCCCTGGTTTTGCTTTCACCTGTAGAAGTGCCAGGATCACAGGCAGTATGTGTACAAAGCTCCCTAAATATGCTCTATTTATACCCAGGAGATATTTTTAAGTGTCGAATTACGGAGTTCAAAGAAAGATGACAGGGGTTGATTCTGCCTGAGCCCCTCAGCTCAGGGTCCCAGTCGGCCAGCACTGTCCAAACCTGACTTTTTTAATTGCTGCTCCCACATCCAGAAGAGGGTTGGTCTTTGGCTCTTGTTGTCCATTATGTAAAACCTCTAAGGATATTTAAAACAATGCTTACAACCAGGATTTTATGAGGGCTCCACTAAATATTAGGTCAGAGCTTTTATTTCTCTGTATCAAAGTATACAATAACCCACCACAAACAATACTTCAGTGCATCCACACACCAAGCCAAGAGGGAGAGGGATGTGGATTAATCAGACATGCAAGTTTACCACCATTCCCATAACAAAGCTCCACAGCACCCCAAGGGAGTTTTGGACAGAGGAGAAGGCTGGTGGAAGAATATTTAATATTTTTATAGCAAAACAAGTTATTTGCTTAAGATAGCTTGGCTGGACTACAGCCTGGCACTCAAGCTTTGTGTAGCAGCTCCAGTAGGAATTAAAGCTCAGTTTTAATGGGTGCTATGTTCCAATGCCTCCTAATGCATTTAGGGTTATTGGCCAACTTTCTCACATAAAAGCAAGTGTGTGTGTGTGTGTGTGTGGATACACAGGATTACAGACACACAAAAAGCTGAGCACAGCTGCTTCATTTTTGTAAAGCCTGGTTGGTTTTTGTTTTGTTTTTTTTTTTTTTGGTTGGGGTTTTTTTTTATGTCTTTAATAGGGAGCAGAGTTGTGGTTCCTCACCGTCCTCGTGAGCTGCCACAGCCAGGGAGCTGTTTATCCTCACAAAGGAGACGTGTGGCCGAGCTCCAGCATCGCCAGGACCCTGCACTGCTTCCAGGACGGGGGCTGTGTAGTCCCAGGTGCGAGTGTCCCACAGCCTCACTTCTCCTGAGGTGTATCTGCAAAAGAAGGCTGTTACTCATCCCAAAACATCTAAGAGCTAGTGAAGGAGAAGGGAGGAAGAAACAAAAGGCATCTTAAAACCCAACACCATTTACAGCTCCTGGACTGATCCTCTGTGAACAAGCCCATCAACTTTGCACATTTTACTCCCTGTTATTGAATCAAGGCTACCAAGGCAGGTAAATTGGAGCTGTAAGACCCACACAACTGAGCTACCACAGGTTACCAACTATCAGTATTAACATGCAAAGGGAGAGGGCTCAGCAGAAGAAAAGGTGATCAGTAATGAGCCCAAATTACATCATGGCAAAACTTCAAACTGTCTCTTTTCAGTCCTCAAAGGTTTGTGATTGTGGTGGTGCCAAGGCAAGGCTGTTGAACTAGAGCATTTATCCATCTACACACAACCACCCACCCAACCTACTGCTCTTTATAGAAAGAAATTTCTCAATGCCTCAGCAACAGAGCAGATTTACCTACATCTCTGAAGACTAATTAATTCATTCAACCAAGTGCTGTCTTTAAAATTGAGGCTTTTCCTTGCAGAAGGCTCACCAAAATATCACAAAAGCTGTAGTTTAACATCAGTTTGTCAACGAGAAATAAAAAAGCAGCACGAAACTTCTCAGATAAAACTGAATATATCCAAATGAATGAATGTTCAGCAAGCAAGAGATTGACTGCTCTGGGCCACCTAAGCCCACATAACATATTATTAAAGGAAAAAAACCCAAACAAATACTGAAGGCAAAGCAGAGGAGAAGCTGCTTCTAGGAGTGGTCAAAGATCACAGTTCAACCACCATTTAGATCAGTTTTGTGATAATTAACACTGTCAAAGGCTCACTCTTTCTCTGCCATAGCTGATACTTGGATTTTTTTGGAAGATCAAAGGCGCTTCCTCCTCTGTCAGATTTGTTGTTACATCCTGACTTTTGGGGGGAAAAGGATTACAAAAGAATGGTTCTTACAAACCTCCAAGGACTGGTGGTTGGAAAAGGCTGTCCTGGGTTTATAAGGAAAAAAACCAGTTATTTACACGGGAGATGAAGGAAAGTGGTTCATAAAGGTTTTAGAGGGTGCTGGGTTGGACTCAGGTACCCAGTTCCTTGGGCAGGGCCATGCTCTGGATCCAGGTGCTCTGGATCAGGTCATTCCCAACAACTCCCGCTGCAAATGCTCCAATTTATACAACTCATTGAAGTGCCTAAGGGGGAGGTGAAATCAGTCAGGCAGAGAGAGACAGAGATGCACATTAACCCTCTGCACTGCCCAGGAGGAGAGGGGAGAACAGGGTGGGACAGCCCTTCTCCCTGCTCCTCCTCCTCCTCCTGCAAAACCCTGCTTTCATTTCCCATTTACAGCAGCAGCACTTCAAAAGGACAGGCCAGGAAAGAAGCTTCCCTCAAGCCAAACGTCTCCCGTTGGATCGGACAAGCGAGTCCGGATCGGATCACAACAAATACCTTCAGTTTGCTAAACTGGAAAGGGCTCATTTCCTTTTCAAATGCGGAGATAAAACACGACGGGACAGGGAACTGCACAGATCTGCTGCAGTCCCCTCCGACAAGAGCCACACGAGGCATTCTGGAAGCATTTTAGTTCTGAGCTGATTCTCGTTTCCTTACGTTAGGGGTTGGTTGGGGTCGTGTTTTCAAGCGTCTCCTAAATGCCAAGAGCAGCAGATTATTCCCAAGGGAAGCCAAAAAATTCTTTTGTCCCTAAGTGACCCTGAAAAGCAAATTTCGAAGGAAGGCATAAAATCCTGGTAGAATTGACAGAACTGACAGAGTATTTGTTTTCATCCCAAAATAAATAAGGAAGAACAGCATCTCCTCCTAGTGTAGCTCTCACACAGTCCAGTCAAGGGAGATATATAGATAAATATATATATTTCTTTTTAGAAAAGAAAGACTGAGATGGAGAAAATAATGCCAGGAATAGAGGAGAGGCACAGGGCTGGATAAGCCTCTGAGCTCACTCCATCTGGGTTCTCTACACAGCACAGAACACGAGGGATCCAGGGCTCAGGACACTCTCCCACGCACAAAACATAACACTGCAATTCTGGGATTGCAGATCCGACACTCCAGCACCCCGGTAAATGCCTAAATCAATTTTATCTCACAATTCAACCACGTCAAAACTTAGTGTGAACCGTTCTTTGCTCATGAAGAACCACCTGTAAGCTGAGCTCAAACTGGAACAGAACCAAACGCCTCTGACCAGCAGTTTGAAATCAATTTGACCCAAATTCTGCCGTGCTGCTGCTGGAACCTGTCTCTGCAGGAGCTCTCACTGTTGAACCATGAAACCACTGCTCTCCCACCTGCCCAGGCCCTGTGAACACAAGAGCTCGTCCCAGCACCCAGGGGTGCTCCAGGGGGTTCAGATGCTGCAGGACAATCCATAACAGGATCCTGGACATGGTGCTCCCTCCAATTCTGTCATGGCAGAGAACAGGGAGCACAGTCTGTGCCAGGAGAGCCCTGCAAGCACCCAAACCTACCCTCAGGTGTCTGTCCAGCAATCCCAGCAGCCCCAGCACAGGACGAGTGCTCTGTGTTCCTCAGGAAGAGGAAAGGTTAAACCTTCTCTGCCCCATCCTTCCTGCATCCCTCTCATCCCATTTCCCACTCAACACCGCCGTTCCCACCCTTCCCAGCCAACCAGTCCCTCAAGGATTTGGAGAGGCGTCACAAGAGCATGCTGGAAACACAGGTGGAGATCTGGGACCAGCGCTGGGAAACTGGGAGACACAATCCATCCTCTCAGCTGACAACTCACCCCCTTGGCCCCCACCACGTGCCCCTCTGCAGCACACACTGGGACTGGACCAGTGTTGAACTGGAACAATTTCAAACCCACGTCCATCCAGTTCAGAATTAAAAAAATCTGATGTTTCAGCTCCCCCAGCTTTTGATGCTGTCGTAAAGAGCAGCACACTTTCAATCTGCAACCATAACCCATAACAAAAGGCTTTTAAACTATTAAAGCATTGCCTTGCTGTTAAAAAAAAAAAAAAAAGGCTGCTCTATGGTAGATAATTGGCAAATCTGCCCTGTCAATGTAGATGGCTGGGGAGAAGAACATGCTGCACTTCGTAGAGCCTATTTCTAGATAATTTCAGGATTTCTATTCATTTCTACCACAACTTTTGCACTTTGCCCTGAAAATTTCATTTGGATTACTCAGTGAAATAACCACAGAAGCAAGTCTTCTGCTCAAGAACACGCACAGTACTCCAAACCCAGTCAGCTGCTGATTTTTCTACCAAGATGGTTATGAAATGCCCACTTAGCTCTCTGCAGGAGTGAAAAAAAACACCAAAACAACTCAAAACTCTCTTCCTGTTTAATCCAACAATGAATACCCTATTTGCTCTGGTACCAACAGCACTCAGCTGCTGCTTTTTCCCCCTCATGGGTGCAATGAGATGATTGTTGCAGTGGCAGGTAAATCCATCAATACCTCATGTAAGACACTCGCACTGAGAAAACCCAACAAACCAACCCCAAAACCTGAAATAACCCACATGAAGACACCACACCTGCTTTGCTCCATTTAGAAGGCTGTTCCAAGTCTTGCTCTGCTGAGCACAACAAGTTTGCTTCCGACCCCAAATCCCCCCTCTCCTGATCCCCCTTCCAAGGTGTTCAGCTCTGGGTCTTTGTCCTCCTCACAGGCACAATTATCCCTCCCTGATGCTCAGCAGAGACTCCCTACACAAATAACTCAGCTTCTCTGATGGACTTACACTCCCCTTTGCCCTTTTCTTCGGAGTATTTCAGTATATACACATGGGAAAGGCAACAGTTATGTTTTTCTAAATATACTCCTCCTCCTTGATAAGCCAGCTCTGTAATTCTGCACAGATATTATTATTATAACTGTCAAAACTAGCCTGGAAATCCAGCTTAAGCTTTTACAGATATGCATAAAAACCTTGCTGAGATGGAGCAACCGTAGATGGAACACACGTGGCAGAGAGAAACCGGGAAAAAAATTAAACTCGTGTGTTATCTACGAAGGAACCACAATAAAAATACCCACTGACTAATCAAAAGCATTTTGACCACTTTTTACTGGCAGCAGTGCCATAATGAGATGGACATTTTCCCTGTGAGTGGAAGCAGAAGGAGCTGGGGGTTAAAAGCTGCTGCTATCCCAGGGAAGCAGGTGGTGGAGTGCGGAGCACATGTGGGAGGGAGCAGAGAGGGAGGCTGGGCACGGCTCTAATGAAGTGGTGCTGAAGAGGCAGACGATTTCATAAGGAGAAAAACATCAGGAAACTGGTCAAAACACAGAATCTCATCTGAAAAAGCTCAACTGCGTTGGATGGCACCAGCCAGAACGAATCTGGGGAAGGGGAGGAGGGGGAGGCTGATCTCTCTCCAGAGCCCCAGATGTCTTTATCGTTGCCTAATGACAATTATACTCAACCAATTAAGACACTGCTATCACAGTTGCATTGTTAGGAAGCCTTTGGCCCTGAGTGTTGATGGCTGTCTAATTAGTGTTTGTGCAAAGTACAACTGCAACTAATATATAAACTGACAAATACACAAAAGAAAAACTGTTAACGGGAACATTTTCCAAACAGTCGAGGCTCTGCTCCCCCGGTCCGTGGCAGCAGCACAGACAAACTGCTTTCCTTCGTGGCTTCTGTACTGCTGGCACTGCAGAATTTCACTTCAAACAGGGGGTCAGAGGGACCATCCCTGGGTTTCTGCTGGATCAGGATGTTGGTGTCAGGCAGTTTTGCTGGCTGCCTCCAGGGCCAGTCCTACCACACCACGCTGGGCCGAGCACCAAAGACCTCCGCTAAGGCCCCTCAGAAATCAGACTGGGTGGTTTTTCCCCCCGTTTTCTCTAAAGAATTTGCAGCAGGAGAAAGGGGAAGGAGAAAGAGACCCCTTTGTTTCACAGTCAGGTTTGATTTCCAGAAGGCGAAGCCTGTTCGGTTTCCAGATACCTGCGGTGATCAACAAACCCAA